ACAGGGGTGTGAGGGACGGGAAGAGGGTAGACAGTCTGAGAAGTCTGGTGGGGGGGTGGGGACGATGAGGACAGACGTCCAGCCAACCACACCCAGGAACCCGGGTAGGGGGAGGCCAAGTGTGAGGCCCTCGGCAGCAGGAGGCAACCCCAGGAGAGGACAGATGCGCAGGCACTTGTCAGGCGGACAAGGGCTGAGCGCAGGGGCCCTCGGCAAACTCCAGGAAATAATTAGTGGCTGGGATTTGGGCGGGGGGGACGGGTTGGGGGGCAAGGAGGAGGCCAGATGGGACCGAAAAGCACTGTTGGAGAGGCAGGAGGAGCCGCCGGGCACCCACCCCGGCCTACCCCAGCGCAGAGAGCCACAGGCCGGCTCCAATCACGGGCAGGGAGGAACGGGCAATGAAAGAGGAGAGGTCAGGCACGCGAGAGGCCCAAGAAGCTGCAAGGGCGCCCGCCCACGTGAGGGTCCAGTGCCGCCCGGACCTTCCCGATCCGTAGTGCCGGAAAGGCCCCGAGGTTCCCCTGCTCCCAGGCCTGGGGCTGCAGATGCGGAAGTCGAGGCCCGCGCAGGCGGGGCGCGGGAGGCCGCTGCCCGGGGGCGCGGCGCCCCGTCCCGTGTGCCCCGTCCCGTGCGCCCCGCGCCGCCCCGGCGAGCTGGCAAGCCCTCTGCGCAGGCCACCGGCTCCGGGGAAAACGCGCTCCCGGCGCGCCCGCGCAGCTCGGGCCCGGGGGCCGTCGGCCACCCTGCGACCTCCGGCCGGAGCCGAGCTGCGCGTCCTCGCGGGGGCCGGGGCTGCGCGCGGGGGCGGGGGCCCCGGGGCGCCGGTCGCCGCCGCAAATTGGGCCGGCGGCGCGCGTGCGGCTCTGCGCATGTGCGGGAGGCGCCGGAGTTTCCCTTTGCAACTTTTAAGGGCCTGGGGACACCGCCCCGCCCGGCCAGGTGGAGCCCGCCGCGCCCGCGCCGCAGGTAGAGGGGAAGGGGCGGGGGGCGGGTCCCGGGCCCACAGCCTTTCCGGACTCCCCCTGCGAGGCTCCCTCTCCCCTCGCCTCCCCTCGGGGACTTGTCCCCGGGAGCCCGACCTCCTCGCCGGGACGGGGAGCGAGGAGCGCAGCTGGGGTGGGGGCTCTTCCTTCCCGGACCCTGTGCCCTGCAGGCCTGGGAAGGGGTCGGGCGCCCGAGTCCTCTGCCGCTGGGAAGGGGTAGAAGCCCCCGGGGCTATCTGTCCCTCAGGGACCCCTGCCCGCGGCCCTGCAGGCGCCCCGAGGAGGGAGGCCAGGGGTTCGGGGAGGGTGAGGAGAGTTCTGCCAGGAAACCCAAACCGCCCAGGTCCGGGGACCTGATAAGACTGGCCACCTGAGACACTGGGTTGGCCTCCACCTTTCAGCCGCCGGTGGTGTCCTCAAGGGCAGGACTCAACAGTGCGGGAGACCGAGTGACCGCCAGCTTCCTTCCCCGCCGAACCTGCGCGGCTGCGCCTAGCGTGTCCCGGCTTCCTGGTTCGGCCGGTGGGCTGTGCTCCCCAAGCCCGCCCGGGGCACAAGGGGGGGCTGTGGAGGCGCGCTGGGGCCTTTCAGAGGCCCTGGCGCCTACAGGGTTGAAGACACTTGTGGGGGGCAGGGGGAAGATCTCCCCGTCATCCCTCCCTGCAGGAACAACCAGTATTTCTCCCTTTTCCCTCCTCCCCTCCTCTGACACCTGTGTGCTTCTGCCTTCGGAGAATGGGAACAGAAGCAGAGGACCCCTCCTCTTCACGTGACCTCTTCTTTGTTTAGTGTGGGGCAAAGATCTCTCTTGAACAGGGCTTTAACAGGGAAAAAACATCAGAGGGAGTCCTGACATTGTTTCCCAGTAGCTGGAGGAGTGACTTAAAAACCAAGAGCTTTCGAGGGCTCACTGGGACTAAGCCCTGGGCCAAGTGCTTCGTGGCACTGTCAGCCCTGTAAGTAAGAGGAATAACATCATCGCCCCCATTTTATGGAGAAGGAAGTCAAGGCACTGAGCATTTAAGCCGCTTGTCTAAGCAACATGGTACCGAGACCCTAAGTGCAGAGCCTGCTCAGGTAACTGCTGGGTGCCGTGCCTCCCCGAGGCTCCAGGGCCCATGTCTATGGAGGGAAACAGTTGTCCAGGGTTCTGGGTCCTGTCTGGTGGTGCTTTAAGAACTTTGTATTCACTTGGCAAGCTTCTCTTGCATCCGGCAGATCCCAGTTAGCTCCTGTGGCCACGGGGCCTACTTGCTGCTTCCCCCCACTGAGCCAGCTCCCCGCCTCCTCCCCAGCCCGGCAGGGCTGCCCTGTAGTTCTTGTGCCCCCAGCTGCCCGGCTCACAGCTTGTCTGTTCGGGAAGCTGCAGGGGGGGCTGGTCCTGGAGGCACTGTGATGTTTTAGGCAAATTGGGACGTGACGTGTGTAGAGCGCAGGGACAGTTCAGAACTGAGCTGAAAGGTCTGCGGGGGCAGCTGGCTCTGCCCTCAGTTGGGTGCCTCCCCTGGAGGGGCTGGCCCGACAGGCCACAGTCCGGGGCGCCCCGAGGCTCCCTCCTGGGCTGGTAGTATTTGCTGGCTGACCTCGCCAGCTCTGACCCAACTTTGTAAAACCACCCTGGGGAGCCTGTTTGGCAGGAGCAAGGTGACTTAGAGGTGTGCCCGGAGCCGACAGAGGAAGAGGACTCACAGGTACCTTCCTCCCACGGGGCCGCTGCCCTTCTAGAAGTCCTGTCTGGCCGCCCCTTCCCAGGGACACTGCTCCCTCTGTGAGCATTTTATGAGGAGGATTTGTTTTTTCTTCCCACGTCACCTTTCAGGCCTTCCTTGTTTGTTGTGCTGTGTTCCTTCTCCTGACTCTAGCCCTTAGACAGCAGCTGCCCTTGGGGCCCCGATGAGGTCCTGGGCTCAGAGGCTGACCCGGAGCCCATGGCCACCCCTGCTCCCGTGGGGTGGACACTCCCCAGTCCTCGCAGTGCCTGGAGCCAGAGAAGAGGGGAGAGGCTGCTGACGTTGAGGGGAGGAGAGAGGAGCAAGCAGCACAGAGGAGAGCCCAGCACCAGTTCTGGGAGCTGGGGGGTAGAGCAGGCTGGGGGAGCCCCCAGGGAAGAGCCAGAGGCTCCATGTGGGTGCCTGAGCTCAGAGACGGGGCAGGTGTGAGCGCAGGGCCGTGTGTCATACTGGAAAAGGCAGCCCCCAGTGATTGGGGCTGTCTATGCTCCTTAGGGAAGCCTCTGAAGGCTGGTGCTCCCTGGTCCTGGGGTCAGGAAGGCCCTGCAGGAAAGGAGTAGCAGGCCCGAGGCGTCTTGGAAGGTGGCTGGGGCCACCTCTGTCGTGCCAGAGCGGGAGGGGGAGCCAGCTCCAAGTGAGGACATCTCTGAGGGACGTGCCCACAGTCCTTCCTGCTGGTGAGTGTGGGGCGGGAGGGAGGGGCGGGCACTGGCTGTGCAGCGTCAGGCCAGGCCCTGCGGTCAGGGTGGGGCTGCTGGGTGACTTTTAGAGCAGGGAAAGCAACAGGATCTGTCTCCCAGAGGTAGTCTTTGTGACTCTGTTCAGAGGCACCAACTGCAAGGCCTCGTATCTTCCAGCCATTGCCAAGTCTCTTGCCGGGGTGAGAAAGTGACTTGGCCTTCTGGGGCCCCTCCCAAGCCCCCGGACCTGCCACCCCCACCCCCTTCCTGCCCTTTCTGTCATGAGTGTGAGACTGTCCCCTGCCAGCCCCAGGGGTCAGAAGTGGCCCTCAGCACCCCATACACACCCCAGCAGCATTCCCAGGTAGTCCAAACACCTGGTTGGGTTGTCTGTACCTTTTCTTCTTGTCCCAAGAGTTTTGTTCCTATAGCAGCTTAGAAATATCAGAGCCAGGGGCGCCTGGGTGGCTCCGTCAGTTAAGTAGTCTGACTCGTGATTTTGGCTCAGGTTGTGACCTCAGGGTAGTGAGATCGAGCCCCGTGTCGGGCTCCTCGCTCAGTGGGGAGTCTGCTTGAGGGTTTCTCTCCCTCCCTCTGCCTCTGCCTCTGCTCCCCCCACTCATGTGCTCTCTCTCTCAAAGAAAGAAAGAAAATCTTAAAAAAAAAAAAAAAGGGGGGGGAAAAAAAATCAGACCTAGCAGAATCCCCAGATGTGGGGAGGTGGGAGCTTGAGGGAGGGTTGCAGAGTATTTCTGCTGGCTCTTCAGCCACAGACAGCGTGAGGCGGGGGCCAGAACTTGGGCGCTAACTCTGGGGCCTGGTGTCGGGAGACAAACACAGGAGATTTCCATTAGCTTCACAGGGGCGCCAGGAGCCTCAGAAAGGAAAGGTCAACAACCAGCCGGGAGGAATATTTGCTTTGGAAATGCTGGGCCTTCCAGTTAGACCAAGGGTACCCAGGAGGGTGGGGGTGGCAGGACAGAGCTGGGATGTGCTCCAGGGGTCCCTGAGGAGCCCCCTCCCTCCTCCCACCCTCCTCCATCTCCCCCCGCCCCCACCCCACCTTCTCTGGCTGCCCCTTCTGGGCCTTCACAGAGCTAGTGTGGGGAGCCAGCCGGGGAGTGTGGCAGGGCTGGAGGAGGCTGGGTCTGAGGCCGACTCGGCGCTGAGCCCCTGAGCCTCAGTTCCAAGTAGAAAGGCCTGCGTCGGAGGCCCAGCTGGACAGCCCAGGGGCAGTGGGGCCAGGGCACTGACCGTTGCTGCCTTCTTGGATGTCCCTTCTAATTTGTTGATTCCTGTGTTTACTCCCTGCCTTTATCTCCCTCCCGTCCGTCCGGTCTGTCCCCTGCCTGCCCACTAGAGCTCCAGGGCCCCCACAGGATGCTCCCTCAGCAGCAGCCCCTGAGGCCACGGCGGCCCCTGGCCGTTTGCCCGCTCCGGAGAGGCTGCCAACTCTGTCCCGGACGAGCCCTCCCCCTGCCCGGCTTGACCCTTGGGACTGTCCCCACAGTGGAGCTGTTCTCGTGGGCCCTGCCAGGCTCCTTGCTGCCGGCCCCCACCTTGGCCTCTGCCAGTGCAGGCGGGGAGACCGCGGGGGCGTCCACGCCCTGACCGTCGGCCCGGGTTTGCTCTCCAGGGAGGACAGGCGCGATGACCGGCCCCCGCCCCCTGGAGCTGTGGCAATCCAAGGCGGTGTCCATGCGTGAGCGGCTGGGCATCGGGGACCGGCCCAACGACTCCTACTGCTACAACTCGGCCAGAAACAGCACTGTGCTGCAGGGGGTCACCTTCGGCGGCGTCCCCACCGTCCTGCTCATAGACGTCAGCTGCTTCCTGGTGAGACCCCTCCTGAACCGTGTCCCCCTCCCCCCCGACCCCGTCCCCAGGCCCTCTGGGAAGGTCAGGTGAGGGGCCAGGCCTACCTGAGTGTGGATGCCGGCTCTGCCGTCCACCTGCTGTGGCCACGGCCCGCGTGTGCCGCCCCGTACAGCGGAGGTCAGGAATTAGCTGCGGGATTTCCGGAGAGGATCCCGTCAGGCTCTGCAGGGACAGAGCCCACGTAGCTGTGCCTTTGAAGCATCCCCGGAGTTAGCAGCCCTGTCGTGTGGGGAGGCCCGCGGGCGGGGGGCCGTCCGCAGGGACGAGAGCTGTGAATGGAAGGTGTGGGTTCCAATTAGAATGGCTTGCACCTCCCAGCCTAGAAACGTCACCTCCTGTCCCCACGGGGTCCCGGGCCTTTTAGGGGATCAGCCGTGGAGAAAAGGACAGACCTTGGAAAAGGCCCCCCTTCCTCAGAGCCGGCCCACACAGTGGCCTCTCGTTAGTGTAGACCTCCTGCTTCCCAAACAACCCCCAGCCTGAAGTGCACCATTATTTCGCCCCTGTGCCGACCCACCTTTGGCCAGATGGCAGGTACTGGGGTCAGGCGCACCTTCCTTTGCCTGCCTGGGGGCCGGCCGGTGCCTCCTGATGCCTTCTCCCAACGTGTGACAGAGCCCATTGGAGTAAATGGGGTGGGACGGGGGTGGGGGCAGTGGGCCAAGGAGTGACGTCTGGAGACGGAGGTGGACGCCGCTGAGGGGGGCCCGGCTGAGGAGAGAGTTGCTGGCAGTGGTGGATTTTTATCATGGGACATTCGGGGTGCCCCTGGGGGCCAGAGGGGCCTGGAAAACGTGAGCGCGTGGGAAAGGTCCACACCGCAGCAAAGCAGGGCAGGGGCAGGGGGGCAGGCACCTGCCCAGCAGGCTTCAAGTTTACCCTACAACAGGACTCACCTGCCTCTGGAGATGTATCAGCAGCTTCCCCACCCGCCTTGAGATAATCCCTCGAGAGCAGGAGCACGGCCCCTCTGGGGTTCTGGCCTTCTGGATTCCCTTCAGGGGGGACAAAACCCACATTTAAAAGCTCAGCTCCTGGGCGCCTGGGTGGCTCGGTTGGTTAAGCAACTGCCTTCGGCTCAGGTCATGATCCTGGAGTCCCGGGATCGAGTCCCACATCGGGCTCCCTGCTCGGCGGGGAGTCTGCTTCTCCCTCTGACCCTCTTCCCTCTCGTGCTTTCTATCTCTCATTCTCTCTCTCAAATAAATAAATAAAATCTTTAAAAAATAAAAATAAAAAATAAAAGCTCAGCTCCTGACTGGGGCCGGCAGGGTTGTGCTCAAGGAAAATGGCTCCCTCCCTCTACCTCCCTGAATCTTGAGGGAGGGAGCCAGTCCAGGGAGAGGCCCAGCAGGTCTGAGGACCGGCCAGGGCGGAGGTGTGGGGAGGGAGGAGAGAGCTAGAGTGTACAGATTTTAGAGCTAAAGGGGGCTAGGGAGAGGAGCCGAGGCCCCAGGTAGTGGAGCACCAGGTCCTCGGTGGGCATGGCCCCTCCGGGAGAACCAGACACCAGGCAGAGGTGTCACTGCTGTGCTCAGCCTGGGGCAGCTCTGCCTCCTTGTAATTAGACCTGCATGTCTGTGTGAAGTGAAGAGGGAGGCTGGTCTCCAGGGCAGCTGTGGGCCCAGAGCTTGTCTCCCTGCTCAGGAGCAGCGGAAGGCCTGTCGGGGCTGGGGAAGGGGAGTGGAGAACAGGGCCGATGCGCTAGATGAGGGGGCGCGGGGGAAGCCCAGTGCACTATGGACGGCCGTCGTGCCTCTGGCACCGGGGACGGGCGCTGGTGGACGGGGTGGGCAGAGCCTCCAACCAACCAGGAGCTGTGTGGCCTTGGGCAGCTCAGCACCCTCTCTGGGCCGTCCCAGTCCCACTGAGCTTAGGCCGGCGGGCTTTGCCTCTAGGACAGCTGTCCCGCGCTCATTAGAGGTCACCTGATTTGGTTTCTTTTTTCCTTTTAGTGTTTAATTTTGGTGTTTTCCATCATAAGAAGGAGATTCTGGGATTATGGCCGCATTGCCCTGGTGTCAGAAGCAGACAGGTAACAAGGACACGTCACCTTGAGTGTGTGTGTGTGTGGGTGTCGCCGGGACGGGCGGGTGGCCCACATGAGACGCTGACACGAGATCGTGTCCGTTGCCGGGCCGGTGCCAGAAGTGCCGTTGGCTTCAGGCCGTGGAGGAAGTCTAGCTGCTTGCACACGTAGGGCTTTCATCAGCAGCTGAGAAGGATGCTGATGGCTTTCTCACCTTGAGCGTCTTCAAGTGTCTCTTCTTGGCAATGAGCTAGATTGGGGCTGGGGGCGAGGCAAGGCGGGTGACGGGAGCTGCCCCTGTCCTCGCTCGGGGTCGGTGTGGGCTGGTGGCCCTCGCTCAGCCAGTGTCGGGGAGTCTGGTGGAGCAGGGGCCCCCTTGGCCAGACCACCCCCTGCCAGGCCCTGACGGCTCATGACACCTGAAGGGGGGGTCGGAGTCTAGGCCTGCGCGCTGGCATCTCCAGCCCCAGCTGTTGCCACACGCCAGGATCTTGCGTCAGGTGCAGAATAGGAAGCTGCGGGGGAAATGCGCGTGTGCCCCGGCCGCCCCGCCCCCCAGGGCCTCCTCGGGCGACCCCCGCTGCTCTTGCTCCGCAGGCCCGTGTTGAAACACAGTCTGTGCGGCAGGGGCGCGGCGTGTTCGAGCACCTTCTTTCCCTGCGGCCTTGGTGCTGGCATTTGCTAAAGTAGTTACGTCCCTTACAACTGGTAGTGCCGTAGATTGGACAAAATACAGCATTTGTTCCAAGTTTTATTTCACACACTGGGAAGCAGATCACACACGTCGACGCTCTAAAGTCCCATTAGGTGGACCTGTTGTGTTGGCGTTGCGGCGCTGAGGTCCCAGGGCGCGGGGCGCAGGGGCGGTGCTGATGCCCGAGCCCTTGTCACTCACCCCCTGTGAGGCAGAGTTTCACGTCTCACACGCCCAGGTGTGGGCATCCGCACATTTCGCGGGCCGAGTTATATCTTGTGCCAGACCTTGAGGCAGGCTTGTAGCGTTGGTCCGGGACGTCGGGTGTAGACTTTTCTGTCATTCTTCCCTTTTGTGTTTCTAGTGAGTCCAGATTCCAGAGATTGTCGCCATCTTCCTCTTTCGGGCAGCAAGATTTTGAAAGCGAGCTGGTTGGTACCAAAGGGAGCAGTGCGGCCGTGGCCGTGGTGGGGGCGGGGGCGGGCTGCCGCGCACCTGTTCAGCAGCTGACTCGGGACCCTGCGTCCTGAGTGGCCAGGGCTGGCGACAGCTCTTCTCGGCACCGACCAAGCCACCCGACTTGGGGGGCCCACGACGGGGTCACCTCTCAGGCAGAGGGCTCCCCGAATCCCCTGCTGTTCCAGTGCTCGTGTCTGTGATCACACTCAGGGACAAGTGTGACAGCTTGTTGTTGACTTGCTGCTGGCTTGAGCCACCTGTGGGCAGGAACCATGCCTTATCCAGTCCTGTCACCCCGAACGGATGACGACTAGATGTGTGTGTCTCCCAGCCGGGGGGCAGCCCAGCTCTGGGGGGATTGTGCGTAAGAGACGCGATGGACAGTAAAACCTACAGACCCCCTCTTCCCTGTGTAACCCCACTCCAGGGAGGGGGGGACTGTCCCTTCCACGAGGCTTGTCTCCCTGCGTCCGTCCCACGTCTCAGCCCGTTGTTCGGGCAACCTAACAGAAGCCCGCGGAAGCTTCTCTGAGGCTCTCCTGAGCACCCTCCCGCTCTCTCTTCAAGTTCAGCATTTGCCCCTGGAGCCCATATGATTCTGCAAATTGTCAAAGCTTGAGAGGTTTTTACAAGAGTTCCAGGCATAGGGTGCCTGTCACAAAGGACTAGGAGCGTGGAGACCCTGTCACTTTGGGGACATGCAGTAGCTTGCTGAATTTGGGACAAAAGCATTGCTTTTGCCTCATGGGAGGCTAGGTGGTTATTTAGGGCACGGACAGTGATCACATCTGCCTCCCAAAGACACACACGTCCATGGCTGACCCCTGCTCTCTGCATTTCCAGGGATGCTGCCCCTGGCTGACCGCCATCTTCCGCCTACAGTGAGTACAGTCCGGGAGGCTGGCGTGCGCGCACACCTGTGTCTGCGTGTGGGTCGGAGTGGGAGCGGGGGGTGTCTGGCTGTCGGTCTTTGTCTGGGGGGGTTTTGCGTGTTTGACCTGTGAGGAGGAAAGGTCAAAATGCCCGACCCCGAGATGGGGGTCTCTTAGCTTCTTCTCAGCTCAGGTCCAGAGCAGAATGTGGGGGCTGAGAACAGGGGGCCCAGAAGCTCCTGCACAAGCCCACGAAACTGAGTTTTTGTGCTCTGGGCAGGAATGATGGCTCCTTGGTATTTAACACCAGCACGCCTGAAGGAGGCTCTTCCCGGCAGGCTTCCGTGTCTGATTTAGTGCAGAGAGGAGAAAGAATGATGCTTCAGTACATTCACCTCATTGGGTTAAAAGTGGTCTTGTTTTTAAGATGTGGGGCCTGCGGAGAGAAACCCTATCAAGCCAGGATCCACTGCGGTCGTAGGCAGCACCCTTTCATGGTGCCGAGATATGAGAAGGACCTCTCAGAATTGATGATATACGGCGGTTACGGGACGCTGGGGACGTCCCTCTCTCTGGGCCTCAGGTTCCCCAACTGTACAAGGGGGAGAGGTGCATTTGCCAACCCCACCCTTCTCCACCACTGCAAAATCGTGTCACCAGGAGGCATTTCTCCTGACGCTGGAGGTCATAGCGTACTCCGTGTAATAAGTCCATCACAGAAGGAAAAGAATCAGTGAGAACAAATTTGAGGACACCTAGAACCCTCCCCCTGAGGGATGCCCAGGGCATGTTCTTCGGTTGGCTACTGGGGGGGGGGGCGCGGCTGGGTGGGGCTCAGGCCACGCCCCTGCCCCTGGGCTGGGGACCTCACCCCCCTGGGCCGGGCAGGGCAGCCGCGGGACACTGACTTATCATTTCCATGGTAACCCGCAAAGGCGGTGGGCAGATCTGCTCTGCAGCGGGCTCCTCTCCCTTGGCCCTGTTTTCATGGTTCCGTGTCCCCTCCAGCCCCCCTCACACCCCCCACATGGACACGCACTTCTCATGGAGGGGCGGTCGCGGTGATGCCGTGTACCTGCTCTGTCACCGTGACGCTGGCCCATCTCCGCTCCGCGGGTTTTCTCCCTGTCTGTCCCTGTCACAGAAAGGACAGCACCTTGGCGTTCCAGAGGCTATAGTTAAATCTAGCAGCTGCTAACAGCCAGCATTCCCACCGACATTCAGAGAGGCCCCGCAGGGTCCTTAGAGTTGCCTTTCCCGGCCAGATCGGAAGGCAGAGGTGTGTCCCCAGAAACATGGTGGATGAGAATTGCTCATTCATGGGTTTGAGTCTTCATCAGTACTCCTTCTGGAAGCTGGACCCTGGGGCAGCTCCCTGTCAGGCACTGGGACAGAGGGGGACCCCATCCTGTGTCCGTGGCACGGAGGTCTGGCTGTCAGCCTCTGGAATTTTCCAGGTCCCCAAGCCAGCTGGAGCTTCCAAATATGGCACCCAGGAAAGGGTGGAGCGCCTGTGGGGCCCCCCCAGCAGGATGCAGGGAGGAGGCGGGGCAGCAGAGGGTCTGAGCCCCGAATGTTCCCTGCTTCGGGGACCAGCTCCCCCTGCCTTGCAGCCTGCCCGAGGGGGGCCCGGGAAAGAACAGGGGCTGTGAGCCTGGCAGCCGCCCTGCCATCAGTGACTTAGCTTATTCACGGCGGCGGGGAGGGCTGTGGGGCGCCTGAGCTTCCACGTCTCGCCCCTGCACAGATGGCTGCCGAGCCGGCAGCTTCCCGGGGGTGCGGTGTGGCGGGCTAACAGGGTGGGCTCGGGAGGCCCCGTCCTCGCTGTTCCCGCACAAGCTGTGTGACTGGGGATGTGGGCTGCGTCCTCGTATGTAGAGCGGTGGGGTTGGGGTGGGAACCCGCCTCCTGGATGGTCCTGCGGACTGAGTGAGGCCACTGCCGCTCACTGAGATTCCATGTGCATGTCTTGGCCAGCGATGAACAGATCCTGGAGTGGTGTGGGGAGGACGCCATCCACTACCTGTCCTTCCAGAGACACATCATCTTCCTGCTGGTGGTGGTCAGCTGCTTGTCCCTGTGTGTCATCCTGCCTGTCAACCTCTCGGGTGACTTGCTGGGTAATGACCCCTCGTCTTGCGTGACTCGGGCCTGGGCAGAGCCGCGGGGCTCCTTGTGATAGGGCAGAACCCCAGGACTCATGCTCGGATTCAGACGTGAGGAGTCCTCGAGGTGACTCTCGGAACTTTCCCTTCTGTCCAAAGGTCCGGAGAAGACCCCCGCCCCCAGCCAAGAGCTGCCCACCGCCCCCCCCCCGTCAATTTCTGATTCTGTCCGAGTATGAGGAATAAAACCCCAAGATTTGTCAAATTGGGCTTTTGGAGAGTGCTTTCCACTTTCCTGCCCCCACCCAATCAGGAGGACATAATTAGTGGATCTGGAAGATGTTCGTGATGCTCAAAGTCAAAATCGGAGTGTGGAACAATGTTTCCAAGCAACTGTAGGAAGCCAGCTTCCAAAATGCCATCACGAATCCGCTTTTTTCTTTAAAAAAAATTTTTTTTCCAAGTAGTCTCTCCACCCACCGTGGGGCTCAAACTCACGACCCCAAGATCAAGAGTCACACGCCCTGGGGCGCCTGGGTGGCTCAGTCGGTTAAGCGTCTGCCTTCGGCTCAGGTCATGATCCCGGGGTCCTGGGATTGAGCCCTACATCGGGCTCCCTGCTCATCGGGGAGCCTGCCTCTCCTTCTCTCTCTGCCTGCAGCTCTGCCTACTTGTGCTCTCTATCTCTCTATCAAATAAATAAATAACATCTTTAAAAAAAAAAGAAGTCACATGCCCTGTCGACAGAGCCAGCCGGGCATCCCCAAAATCCACTTCTTATGCCCAGTGATTCCCATCTTGGTGTGGGGCCCAGTTTAGGATGATTTTAGATTTCTCACGGAATGTCACAAGAATCTCAGAGCAAGAGGAATTCAAAGTTGACTTCCCCACATGGGGGGTTGGGAAGAAGTTGTCGGGGACAGCAGAGGCCTTGGTTGGTGGAGCTCTGAAAATACCGGACAGATGGTCAGGTCCTCTGACGGGTCCGGAGCCACACACCGAGGCTGCGGTGCCCCCTACCCCTCCCCTAGCCTGACCCTGGAACTACGTGTCTTGCTTCTCTGCAGACAAAGACCCTTACAGCTTTGGGAGGACGACGATAGCAAACCTGCAGACTGAGTGAGTATGGGGTGGGGGCTTTGAGGGTGCTGACGGGGCGGGGACCAAGGGGAGGGCAGATTCCAGAGCCCGGGCTCCGCCAGAGAGTCCTCAGCCAGTGGGCCGATGTGCGAGAGCCCCTCTGTGGCCAGCGCATGTGGCTGGGTGGTGGGCATGGACGTGGCCCTGTGGGTCTGGGTCCATCTGTCAGGACAGCGCCCACTCTAGAGGGGCACTGGCCACGAGGCCTCTGTTGGAGGCATCTGCTGGGATGGAGCTGTTGGCCCTCAGCTCAGCACCCGGGCCCAGCCCCTGCACCCCCACCCCGGCTTGGGAGCCCAGCCCTGATGGCAGGTGGTGTTCCCCCCCGCCCCCACCGCCCAGCAATGACCTTCTCTGGCTGCATACCATATTCGGGGTCCTCTACCTCATCCTCACCGTGGGCTTCATGCAGCATCACACGCGGTCCATCCGGTATAAGGAGGAGAGCCTGGTGAGTGTGGCTGGGGGCACAGGAGGGCCAGGGCCCAGCGGCACCCCCGGCAGGCAGGTGGGCGGGAAGGTGGATGGCCTGGGACTTGGGAGCAGTGAGCTTCAACAGAGAGCCTCTGTGGAATGTGGCTGGCATGTCTGCACTCAAAAATGACATTCTCTTTTTAAAAAAAATTCAGATTATTTTAGAACTTGGATTTTTCCCCCTCTGTGTTGCCAACTAGCCCTTAAATTTGTGGGGTCCGGGCTTATAGTTGCTGATCCTAAGTACCATCTCGAAGTTCGGATTGGGAGCAGCCCTCTCTCTTTGTAACCCACAGCTTGATGGGGAGGAGGAGTCTCTGTGAGTTGGTTCTGGGCCTGAGTCCTCCTCTCATCTGCTGTGTAACCCCATTTGAATCCCTCACCCTCTCTGGGCTCCTCCTCCCTTTCTCGTCATGCAAGGGAGGCTTGCAGAATTGCCTGGGACGAGTATTGTATGTACAGCCTGGAAGGCGGTGCTGGGGGCACAGCATCTGTCAGGGCTCCGCCAGGTGGCCCGGAGCAGCCGAGCCTTCCGAGCTCCCGCTGTTTCCTTCGGGGAGGCTCGAACAGGGCGGAAGAGTGGGGCCCGCCTGCGGACGGGCTTGCCCGGTGACTCTCCCTGGTGCATTTCTCCGCAGGTGAGGAGGACCCTGTTCATCACGGGCCTCCCCAGAGACACCAAGAAGGAGAGTGTGGAGAGCCACTTCCGGTGAGCGGGGCTGCAGCCCCTGCAGGTGGGACAGGTGCCTTAGGGGAGCACTCCGTGTCCTGCTTGGGCACCCGGAGACCTGGAGAAGGGTCTGGCCCTGCCACACGGTCATCATGTGGCTGCTGGTGCCGTGGAAGTGTTCCGGCTGGGGCGGCCTGCCCTCTGTCGGCCGCCACGGCCGCCCCGGGTGACCGCAGGTGCTGGAGAGGAAGCCAGGCCCTTGAGAGCACAGGGAAGATGATCTGCCATGGGCTTCTCAGCATCAGCTGTGCAGAGTCCGACGCCCGAGACAGAGCTGATCTCCGAAGGGGAGGGCCTGTGGCTGGCCCCTCCGTCCCTCGAGAGCATCTGGGGAGGGGGCACCTGTGTCTGGAGCCCTGTCCTCACAGAGCTCACCATTCAGTGAGTCCAAGCTCTCCGGGGCAGGACCTCCTTCCCAGCAGCCCCCGCTGAGCACCTGTCCCCAGGGCTCCTGTGGGGGGGGAGGGGGAGAGGAAGCATGTGCAGGGCTGGGAATGGAGCATCAGGACAGGGGTGGGGGGGCAGAGCAGGTGCAGAGGCCCCTGGACCCCCTGGGCTGCAGGCGAGGGAGCCAGGCTTCTACCCGTCTTTACACCCCACCAGCTCAGCAGTCACTAATCTGTAGAGTGGACTAGGGGTGGAGGATGGTGTAACGGAGCACCGTTTGTGAAGAACACTAAAGAGTTGTAAAATGAGTGTTTACAATGTATTGACTAACCTCTTCAGAAACTCCAAGTATTTTGGAGATACTGTTATGTAAACACTGGATACTGGCAGTGCTTTTCTCTGTTCCTTGAAACACCTCCCGAGGGGCCTGTTGGGCAACACTGAAAACAATTGTTTCGTTTGATGTATAATCTTTTTTTTTTTAAAGATTTTATTTATTTATTTGAGAGAGAGAATGAAAGAGAGAGAGAGCACATAAGAGTAGGAAGGGTCAGAGGGAGAAGCAGACTCCCCGCCGAGCAGGGAGCCCGATGCGGGACTCGATCCCGGGACTCCAGGGTCGTGACCCGAGCCGAAGGCAGTCGCTTAACCGACTGAGCCACCCAGGCGCCCTCGTTTGATGTATAATCTTAAAGAGAAAAGAAAAGCCCCCTCCTACCATATAGACACTGGATCAGAGATCTCCTAGCTTAGGGGGCCCTTTTGGTGCACGCGGCCGTGGCGATCCCTGGGGACCGGCGATCCCTGGGGACCGGTGTGGGCATCTGCCCTGTGGCTGGGATGCCCGCGCTGGGGCCCCCTTCCCTGGTGCTCTTCCTGGGATCCCGGCTTGTCCTGCTGTTTAAATCAATGGCTGACATGCCTGTGGGCTTTGTCTCTCTCACAAAGATGGACCCAGAGGGTGCCTGGCATGTGTGGGTGAGGACTTTGTGTGTCTGGGGAGGGAACGTCGTGCGGCGGTGCCAGGCTGCCTGGATTCAGATCACGGCTCCGCCAGCCGCCAGCTGTGTGGCCTGGGGCACAAGTCCTGTAACCTCTCCGACCCTTATTTTCCTCATCTGGAAAATGGGGATGAAACCTCCCACGTTCTGATGAGGATTCGATTAATCCTCTAACGGTACCTGGCCAATAGCAAGGATACGCACAGCACACGAACAAGGAGATGCGATCTTACTATGACGGTTAACGTGTGTGCAGACATTTCCTGGACTGAGGGTCCTTTGCTTTCATTAAACCCGAAATGTCTGTGACCTTCAAAAGGGTCACACACTGGGTAGGGTTTCGGTGATGGTCCAAGGTCAACGTGACCTAGAGCCAATGAAAGATCTCTTCCTTTGGGTGGGTGGAGGACAAGAGCAATGGTGTTCAGCCTTTGCCAGAAGCACCTGCTGATTTAAAGCCGCGAGGGTATAAACCTGTCACTTGCAGGCAGTGACTTTCATGCTATTAAAAAAGGCCTCTTTGTATTACATTTCAAAATTTCCCCCTTTGATAAAAGACAAGGAGAAAAGAGGTCTCTGTTGGCACACACAAAAAGCCTTGGAGACTTGGGGGTCTCCCCTGCCTGGGGGTCTTCTTTTCCAATGGGCATCTTTTGGGCACAGGGACGCGTATCCCACGTGTGAGGTGTTGGACGTCCAGCTGTGCTACAACGTGGCCAGGCTGTTACACCTGTGCAAGGAGAGGTACGGGGGCGGCATGGGCCCCTACCCCGCTGAGGCCCCGCCCTCCTTCCCGCTGGCCGTGGCCGGAGCCCCCGCTGGGGAAGGCAGGAGGGTGGCTCTGCCCCTTCTTGTTCAGGACGCTGAACTCCTGGGTCTGGTGGCGGCTGGTGGTTGGAGGGTGGTGGTGGGGTGTGCGCCACAGGGTCAGCACGAGGCTGATGCCCCCCCCCCCCGCAGGAATAAGGCGGAGAAGAGCCTGAGCTATTACATGAACCTGCGGGTGAAGACGGGCCAGTGGACCCTCATCAACCCCAAGCCCTGCGGCCAGTTCTGCTTCTGCGAAGTGCCGGGGTGTGAATGGGTGAGGGCCCGGCCCCAGCAGGAGCACTCCGCAGGGTCCCCGACCCCCACACAGGGCCGCGTGGTCACGGGGGGTGTGTCCGCCGACAGGAGGATGCCATCGCTTACTACACGCGCCTGAAGGACCGGCTGACTGAGAGGATCGCCGAGGAGCAGTGCCGGGTCCAGGAGCGGCCGTTGGGAATGGCCTTCGTCACCTTCCAGGAGAAGTCCATGGCCACCTAGTGAGTGGGACCCTTCCCCAGCCAACTCCCCGTCCCCCTCCAGGTGACTTGCTGTCCCTCTCGGATGCAGGTGGTCCTGCGGAATCCATCCTGGGATTTGCCAGTGGCATTTCCATCTCTTTCCCTCTCATCCCAGCCTGTGCTTGTGACAGCTGGGCGGGGGTGATTCTTTGGACCCCTCTCGGGTTGATGCAGACTCACCCTCCTGCTGGGCTCTCACCAGCTGCCCCAGGGATCCCATTGCCTCTGTCCAGCATTTTGCCCTCCTTCAGATGTCCACTCTGGACCTCAGATCTTCTGTGCCCCGGCTTCCCATCTCGTACAAATGCACACCCCCCCGGGCACTCGGGGCACTCCCTTCTGCAGAGCCGAGGCCTGGGGAGGGTTGCAGGGTGCAGGCTGGTATGGGGCGCTGGCTCCCAGAACAATCCCATGCCTGGGATTGGGAGAGCACTGGGGACAGCAGGTGGCCACACAGATGCCCCTCCCCCTGCCTTCTCTGCGGCAGCACCGGTCCAGGAACATACCCTGCCACAAGGGGAGAGCCGGGAGGGCGCCCATGGAAAGTGGGTGGTCCGAGGCAGGAGCGGGTGGGAGGGCGGGCATGGGGCTGGAGAGGGGTGAGGTGGCTGTCCTGGGGTGGGTGTCAGAGTGGGAAGGAGTTGGGGAAGGACCGATGAGACCCTGGCCTGGCCGCAGGATGTGCCCACAGCGCCAGCATGCGGGGTGGGCGGAGGGGGGGCCTGGGGAGGAGCGGCGGGTTGAGGATGTGCAACAGCATGGGAGGCAGAATCAGACAGATGGGGCGCACACCTAAGTGGGAGGGCCTCAGTTTCTCTATCCGTAAAGCAGAAGTCCTCCCTGGCTTGCCGGGTTGTTCTGGGGATTTGATGGAATCCTCCCGTGCCAGGCACGGCTTTTCTAAGCATTACCTGTAATAAACTAATAAAGCCAAGGTCTCCGGCCCCGGGGGCCTCGTTCTCGCTGGGTCCTGTCTCCCGTGTCTGTACGTGGCCCCTGGGCGGCTGGGCCCTGGGCACTTCTGCTTTTCCCGGCAGCATCCTGAAAGACTTCAATGCCTGCAAGTGTCAGAGCCTGCAGTGCAAAGGTGAGCCCCAGCCATCCTCCTGCAGCAGGGAGCTCCGCACCTCCAAATGGACAGTGGCCTTTGCCACTTACCCTGAGGACATCTGCTGGTGAGTCCCCGGGCCAGGCCGGGCCGGGCCGGGGTGGGACAGAGGCCCCGGGGCCTGCAGGAGCTGCCCCGTCACCTGGAAGCCAGGGCGGGGACTGGCGGTCAGGGAGGTCCGCACACGGCCCCTGCTTCTCTCTGGGCCAGGGCTGGGGGGCATGATGTGAATCCAAAATACTGAAAATAGTATCATTTCTACACGGTATCAGTTATTTTTTAGTTGAGATGTTTCTCTTTCTCATACTTAGTATCTTTGAAATGCAGCCTGTATGTTACCTTGGTTGCTCAGCAGCCAGGCAGGGGCTCCCGGCGGGCACGGCTCTTGTACCCCCCCACCCGGTGAAGCCACCTGTCTGGCCTGGGGGACACGCTGGTGAGCTACGCTGTGTCCACGGGCCCATCAGTGAGCCTTGAGCAGGATGCAGGGGTGAGGGCAGCCCCAGCAGAGGCTCCAGCACGGTTGGCCTCAGTCCCCCACCCCGAGAGCGAGCTTTGGGGGCTCTTCTCCACTGGTTCTAGCTTGGCCTCCGACAGTTCTGGTCTCACGTCACAGGGCTTACCAAACTCGGGCGGTTTGTCTGTTCTTGGTGGGGTGGGAGGCCGGGACAGGCTGCAGTGGGGCCCCAGCCCCTCTGTCCCCTGCCTCCCCCTCCCTGCACCCAGCCCCTGGCCCTGCTGGGGAGGATGTGTCACTAGTCACCAAGGTTGCCGACATGGCTGAGACATACCGGGTCGGAGCCTTGCTGCCTGGGTGCTCGTGGCATCTCTTTGGTGGGTTCTGGATCCCATGCTGTTGTTGCCGGGGAACCATGTTTGTGGTGGATAGCCTGTTTTCCCTCTGAGCTCAAAGGGACCCCAAATTTGACATGGCTGAAGCTGAAGCTCGGTAGAGAGCACTTGCCTGTTCTCCTGAGGTCGAAATGAGCCCCCCGCCGGAGCCCTCTGTCTGGTGCCTTGCCGTGTCTAAACTTGACCTGCTCACCCAGCTACTCCAGCTGCTGTTGGCGTGGTGGGCAGCCAGAGCCTGGGAGATAAGCCTCCAGGGCCTGTGTCCTCCCCTCTGCAGGAAGAACCTCTCCATCCAGGGCTTCCGCTGGTGGTTCCAGTGGCTGGGCATCAACTTCACTCTCTTCGTGGGGCTGTTTTTCCTGACCACGCCCTCCATCATCCTGTCCACCATAGACAAGTTCAATGTCACCAAACCCATCCATGAGCTGAACGTGAGTGACCATGCTGCAAGGACCCTCCTGCAAGAAGGCGTGGTGGGCGAATGGGAGCCAAGGGAGGGCACTGAACCGGGAGCAGCGTCTCCGAGCCGGGGTGCGGCCAGCAGTGCGCGTGCACAGGGGACGCTCCTGCTGCGGCCTCTGCTGGGGCTGCCCTCACCCCCACATTCTGCTCAAGACTCACCAGTGGCCCGTGGACACAGCTTAGCTCACCAGCGTGTCCCCCAGGCCAGACAGGTGGCTGACACGGGACCTGGGGAGGACTGGGCGGGGGGCTGAGGGGGGCTGGGGGGCGGCTAGGAAGGAGTGACAAGTGCTTCACAGATTGGGGCAGCAGGGTGCAATTATTTCTTTCACGTTCTGGCGTCGGATAATCTTGTTACAAAGCCATAGAATCTAGATAAGAAACAAATGATTTTTTAAAATCTTAGATGAATTGAGGGGCGCCTGGGTGGCTCAGTCGTTGGGCATCTGCCTTCGGCTCAGGTCATGATCCCAGGGTCCTGGGATTGAGCCCCGCATCAGGCTCCCTGCTCTGCTGGGAAGCCTGCTTCTCCCTCTCCCACTCCTCCTGCTTGTGTTCTCTCTTTCGCTGTCTCTCTGTGTCAAATGAATAAATAAATAATCTTAAAATCTTAAAAAAAATAAAATAAAATCTTAGATAAATTGAGAATAGCTAACACTCCCTAAGTTGGCCTTAAAAAGGTACTGGTTTCCCATGATTAGCTCTGCTGAAATATCACCCTAAGTCTTTTTTCTTTTTTCCAATTCCGCTTGGCATTCAGTTAATCACGCTGGGAAAGCACGCAGGGCAGGAGGCTCTGAGGCCCTGGTCCTCGCTCTGCTGCCCCCTGGCTGATGAATTCTGAGCCGTGGATTTTCATCCGACGGCTGGAGTGAAAGCACCTACCTTAGCATCCTCATGGGGCTGTGGTGATGGTGACCTCATGAGCTAATGTGTGGTCGGAGCATTTACAGCCTGTAAATATTCACGCCTTTGCCAATCAGGCGCCCCTGATTCTGTAGCATTTTTTAAGGAATTGGCCTTTATCGAGTCTTTCTGAAGTACGCCACCTCGTTTTCATGAAGTTTTCTCTCTACGGTTATGCTCATTTTATCAGGGAAAGTAGTAAGCTGGTCAGCTCGTGTGATGGCAGCCGTGAGCACGGGGCACACACAGGATCGGCCCCAGCCGGGCCGGCAGGAGCTGAGCGGGGGGTTGTCTGGGGAGGCCCCGCTTCAGCATGCCCACTCCCCTTGGCTGCCGCTGTCGGCTGTGTAGAGGGAAGCCAGGGGGCGATGGGTCTGGTTGGTCGCACAGGCGGACGTCAGCTGTGTGTGAAGTTCGTTTCTTCGCTCCAAAGAGCTGTACTGAAGCCCAGGGCGGTTACGGCCCATTCAGTCAGCATGATGGAATACGTGCCCCATACCAGGCCCAGCATCGGCTCCGGGGTGGGGGTCGGGGGCAGCACGACCAGGAGGCTACCGCCCCTCCACCCGTCTCCTCCGTGGCCCTTATTTTCCAGGACCCCGTCATCAGCCAGTTCTTCCCGACCCTCCTGCTGTGGTCCTTCTCGGCCCTGCTGCCTACCATTGTGTACTACTCCACGCTGCTGGAGTCTCACTGGACCAAGTGAGTGAGCGGGGCGTGCGCCCTCCGCCCCCAGGGCAGTGGGCACCCAGCAGGGGCCTCCTGGGGCCGCTAGGAGCACTTGGGGCACTGGGAGAACCCACCTCTGGCTTCCTGCAGGTCAGGAGAAAACCGGATCATGATGTCGAAAATCTACATATTCTTGATCTTCATGGTGCTGATCCTGCCCTCCCTCGGCCTCACCAGGTACCCACCACCACCTCCTGCCCTGAATTCACGTCTGGTCACCTCTGGAGAGCTCTGTCTGTCCCTGGGAGAGGGGAAGTGGTCTGGGGGTGCATGCCAATCCCTGACGACATCCACGCCAGGCCCACCCACGTGGGGTGTCCTTGGGCTGGCTCACTGATTCTTCTGGAGATACAGTCTTTCTTCCTTAAATGAAGCTTGAACACAAAACGGAGCATGGACCGTCCCCTTCGGGAAAGGAGAATCTGTGTACTTTAAAGGGGGGGGAGTCGCTGTGGAAGCCGGCCCTGACCGGTTATAGTGGAGTAAGTGGCACCTTAGACAAGAAACGTGGACCTGGAGGTTCCGCCTGATGCTTAGAGCAGAAAAACGTGAAAATGCGTAGTGAGCACAGGGAGCGAGGGATAGAAGTGCTCATGGCATTCTTTTTGTTTTGTTCCCCAGTCTGGATTTTTTCTTCCGGTGGCTCTTTGACAAAACTTCCTCAGAAGCCTACATCAGACTGGAGTAAGTATTGGCCACGCTGCGTTTGGAGCCGCCGTCCCGGGGACACGTCTGTCGGGGGCTTGGCTGGGGCTGCATGGGGCGGGGGCGGGTAGTCTGTGCTCCGGGACAGTCCTCTCCTCCTGCGACCCCAGCACCCCTCCCAGGCGCCTGGCGGGGTGAGGCCGGGCAGAGCCTTCGGTGGGCACCGTGGGAGCTGACCCACTTTGCGCCACATGTGCAGAAATGTGGTTCATCTCTGAGGCCGAAACACCAGTGGTGGCCGTCTTGTTCATTCTTTGAGACTTATTCCTGAGAATGGAGCCACTCGGGGAGGAGAGCAGTAGTGAGCCCCGTGGAGGTGCCTTCCGTGGTGGCAGAGAGGCTCCCGGGCCTTGGCTCACCCCCCGCGGCCCCCCAGGTGCGTCTTCCTGCCCGACCAGGGCGCCTTCTTTGTGAACTACGTCATCGCCTCGGCTTTCATCGGCAACGGGATGGAGCTGGTCCGGCTGCCGGGCCTGGTGCTCTACACCTTCCGCATGTTCATGGCCAAGACTGCGGCCGACCGCAGGAACGTCAAGCAGGTACAGGGGCACGGTGGGTGGGGACGGGGTGTAGACTGCCTCTCGGGACCCCAGCCTCCACGCCGGGCGGCTCCCCGGGGGTCTGACCCTGGAGCCTGGGGGGGGTCACTCTCCCGTCTGTCCTGAGCACCCTCCCCACCCTCTGCCCCCACCCCCCGGCCTGCGGGGTTGACGCGATTGGAAGGAGGGAGACACGAAGGGCCCGCGAATCCTGGTGGCCTGGGTGGGAGCCCAGGCAGGCTGCGGGGTTGCGGAGGGCAGAGGGACCCCAAGAGGCAGGGGGAGCTGCGCGCCTCCCGTTTCCGAAGTCGTCCTCCGCGCTGTCCCCTGGCGGCCCCGAGTGAGCTCCTCGCCTCCCCGCCTCCCCGCCCAGAACCAGGCGTTCCAGTATGAGTTCGGGGCCATGTATGCGTGGATGCTGTGTGTCTTCACCGTCGTTGTGGCCTACAGCATCACCTGCCCCATCATCGCGCCCTTCGGTGAGTGTCCCGGGGCCGGGGGTCCGAGTGGCTGTGCCGTGACCAGCAGCTCTTACTCTAGCCCGCGCCCCAGGTCCTCAGTGTCCTGTGTGGCGCACGTCTGCGAGGCAGGTCTGGTTTTGCAGATGAAGCACCAGTGGGACGGGGTGAGGAGTAGACCCGGCATTTGAACTGGGGACCGTTTGACTTTAGAGATCAAGGCCTTGCCACTAAAATAAACATCAGGTTCCTGGATTTTGGCACCAAAAAAATACACATATATAAATAAATAAAATAAAAATCAGAACTGCAGACAGATGGAAGATTCTGGAAGGAAACAGAACACCCAAGAGACTGTTGGCCTTGCTAGCTGGGGTTTTGGGGCAGGAGGAGGTTTAGTTTTCCCTGTATGTTCTTGAACTATTTAAAAAATGTATAGCATTACTCTTCAAAAATGAAACAATTTTGTAAAAAGCGTGATACGATCAAAGAGGCAGCATCCACCTTCTGTACCACCCCTGGGGCAGGACCTCGGGCACCTGTCGACTGCTGGGTGAAATGGGTCAGCATGGCCGGGGCAGGGAAGGAGCGGGGGAGCCTTGCAGGATGGGGGGGCGCTCGCGGGGGAGGGCCCAGGACGAAGCTGAGGTCGGGCATCTGGGTGTAAAATAGCTTCTCTCTGCAAAATGGTGCTAGACACCTCTACTCCTTGGTGTCAGGGAGAGGCTGGGAGTGGGGAGCAGAGAGAAAGAACGAGGAGGCGAGCAGCCAGGTTCTGCATCTAGCCCCGCTTGGGCTTCCTGCGGTCGGACAGATCGCCAGCCCCAGGAGGTGGCCGGTGGAGGGGCCCCGTGGCCCGGCCAGGCCTGCAGCTCACAGCCCGTCTCTGCAGGCCTCATCTACATCCTGCTCAAGCACATGGTGGACCGGCACAACCTCTACTTCACCTACCTCCCGGCCAAGCTGGAGAAGAGGATCCACTTGGCGGCCGTGAACCAGGCCTTGGCTGCTCCCATCCTGTGCCTCTTCTGGCTCTGTTTCTTCTCCTTCCTGCGCCTGGGTGAGGGGCCCTTCTGACCAGGGCGGGCTGTGGGGTGGACGCAGGAGGCAGCCCGGGGCCTCCCAGTCCCCATTCATAGCAGCCGGTCAGGTCCCTCACCTTGGTGCCCAATCAGAACACGGTGCCCGGGGGAGGGCTGGCTGGGGGCAGCATTGACCGCCCAGCTCCCGAGCTGGCCGGAGCCTGGGGCACCCTGGTGACCCCAAGTCAGCGGAGAAGCTGTACAGAGAAGGCGGTCCCCTTATCTGCGCGGAGGGCCTGAACCGGAAAGGGGCAAGCTGGTCCAGGCTGCCCTTTGGGGCGCGGGTGGGACCAGGTCCTCAGCACAGGGCGGAGGTGGGAGCTCACAGGAGGAGAGGGGGATACTCTCCGGCAAACGACAAAGGCAGGAGGGCTGTGACCGAGCCCCGGTCAGGTGAGGGGGGCCTCCATCCCATGTAGCCAGGGCAGTGGAGCCTGCCGGGAGCCGGCCCAGCAAGGAAGCGGGCAGCTGAACACTGACTTGGGGTCCTAGTTCCTGAAATCTGACTGGGGATAATGGCAGCCATTCAGCGGGTGCCCCCCTGGGTGCTCCCGGCCGCGGGAGAGGTCACACACGGTTCCCGCACCAGCTGCGGCCCCTCCCCCCCCAGAATGGCTGGCATCCCTCTGTCCCCAGGTCTGAAGGCCCCCCTCACCCTGTTCACCCTCCTGGTCGTGCTGCTCACCATCCTGGTCTGCGTGGCCTACACCTGCTTTGGATGCTTCAGGCACCTCAGCCCACTGAACTATAAGGTGAGGGGACGTGGGAGGAGCGGGGGGGTGGGCACGCGCCCCACTTGTCACAGCCCTGCCTGCCGGCGGCCCTTCCCCGCCGTCCTCAGCTGCTGGGAGCTTGGCGCCCGCCGGTCCTGGAATCCCGGCTGTTAACAGTCTGTGTGTTTGGAGGGTGCTAGTTCAGGGAGCCCGGTTTTGTTGATCATGGTGAGTCTCTGCTGTTAACCTGCAGATGGAGGACTCGGGGAGCGACAGAGGAAGTGAGGCAGACGCCCCCCGGCCGGCACCCTTCACGGTAAGTTCCGCTTCTTCCCGAGCCGGAGCGGCTCCCGGCGGGTCGGAAGTGCCTTGATCATGTGGCAGCCACGGTTCCAGAAGGAATCCCTAGTCCTGCGGGATGCTTCACCTGCACAGGTGAAGCCACGTTCCAGAAGGAATGGCTAATCCCTGTGCAGGTGAGGCCACGTTTGCCCAAGGTGCCGCCCCGCCCCCTGGTTTCCATTTCCCGCCCCGGTTCCTTCTCTGCAGGTTTAATGCCTGCCGCTGGGCCTCTCAGAGCCAGGGCTGGGCAGCCTTCTCTCCAGCCCCCGCCTCCCCCAGGTCGGGCTGTCTGTAGGGCTGTCTGTCTGTCCCGGGACCAGCCCCGGCGGAGAGAAGGTTCTCAGACTCATTCCCCCAGGACACCTGCCCCTGCAGACCGGGGAGGAGGCAGGGCAGGTGGATGGCCTGAATCCCCTTCTCAGCCCAGCTCTGGGGAAGAGCAGAGGCGGAGTGGGGGAGCGCTGAGTCCGGAGTCTCATGTCCAGGCCCCCCACTCCCGCTCCGAGCACTCAGGTCCCCCCATTTTCTGGCAGCCCTACATGCCCCGGATTCTGCAGGGCTTGTCCTCGGAGGGAACTGCCCTGTCCCCACAGCGGCGGCAGAACTACGGCACCATCCACAGCATCAGCGGGACTGTCCCAGGGCAGTGCCCGGCCCCGGGCCCCGGGGCCAGGGACAGTGGAGCGCCTGCCTACCAGGAGGCCTGAGGGCAGCCGGGCCAGGCCCGGAGCTGGGAGAGGAGAGCCAGGCGGGAAAGCGGACTGACTCGGGCTCCAACTGTTTTAAGCACAGCTGCTCTCAAGAGATGGAACTGGAAAGGTGCTCCTGCCCTTGGCCGAGGAGGGCAGGCCAGGACGACCATTGGGTGGCGAGCGCTGGCCTTTCTGGCCTAGCAGCTCTGTGCTCCCGCTGGCTTGCCGGGGGCCCAGCATTTCCAGGTCCCCCTCCTGCACAAACGTCCAGCTGTGTAGGTGGGACACCGTCCCGGGGAGTTTGGTATCATCATGTGTTGGAGTTGTGCACCCACAGCCCCGTTCACTGTGGTGATGGTGTCAGGTACGGGGCAGCGGAGAGTGCAGGAGCCCCCCGGAGCCCCCAGCTTGAGGCGCACACTCAACCAGCGCATAACCAAAGAGCCTGTGGCCATCCAGGCTGGATGGGGTCCAGATGAGGGTGGCGGTTCATGCCGGCTCCTCTTTCCGAACCCAGCCCAACCCCCTCCGGTCCCAGGAGTCTGCTGTGGGAGCAGGAAGGCCGTGGGCCAGTCCGGGTTGGGTGGGCTGTGACTGCAGCAGGAAGGGCAGGTGGCCCCTTCCTTTTCCTCCCTGCGGGGCTGGGGACGACAGCCTCCCACGGCCTCCAGCGGCACGGGGGCGGTGTGCGTGGGGGCCCACCCCGCAGGGGCCGGGTCCCAGGACACGGGGAGGGGGTGGAGCGTCCTGGAGCCAGCAGGGTCCCCTCCCCAGCCCAGACTGCCGACTGGCCAGCTGTACTGGGGGGGCCCCATGTCACCTGGTTCCAGCCACTCTCAGGAATAAAATCATTTATTATCTCTGCTCTCGTGCAGGCAGTGAACAGGGCGCCTGGCAAGGCGGGGGTGGGCGTGGGGGTGTACATTGTCACCAGGAGAAGACGGGGGAGGGGGCTCGCTGCTCCTTGGGAGCGGCCCGGCGGGTGGGGGGCAGCCCGCCCCGCGGCCATCAGCCCTGCTCCAGCAGCCCCACGAACTTGCCGATGTCCTGGGCCAGCAGCTCCGGCTCCTCAAAGGCGGCAAAGTGGCCCCCACGGGCCATGTAGGAGTAGGAGAGGAGTTTCGGGTACTTGAACTTCACCCACTTTTCTGGCACGTGCATTAACTCACAAGGGAAGGCAGCAAAGCCTGTGGGCACGTGGACCTTGATCCTGGAAGGGACAGCGATCACACTGAGGGGCGAGGTGGCATCCTGGTCCCCTCTGTCCCCCTGCAGCAGGGGGCTCCGGGACGGGGGGCTGGGGGCTCTGGCCACCCTCCCACAGGGAGCCAGAAAGGAAGGACAGACCAGGGTTCTCACCAACCCCTCAAGTCCAACCCACTAGAGCTGCCTTCTCCAGAAGGGCTGGCCAGGCTGGAGAACACGTGGGCTCCCCACGGGCTGAGCCGGACAGGACAGCCGCTAGCCCCCCCAGCTGCGTTCCCCTTTCCCCCCGCTGCCCCCTGAGGGTCCGAAGTCCAGGACCGCCGGTGCCACATGGGGCCGGCCCGGCGTTCCCTCGGTGAGTGAAGTGACACCGTGCTCTCATGCCAGGCACCCTGGGCACCCATGGTCCTGCCATCAAAGGACCTCCCTGGGGGTCAAGGGCAGGCGGTCCGGCTGCTCCTGGAGGCCCGTCGGCAGGCGGCCCTGTGCAGGCTCAGCCAGACTCACCGGTCATGCTTGTTGGCCATGAAGCCCTGGCCCAGGTTCTCCTTGTAGAAGCGCTGGGAGGAGGTGATGGTGCCCGTCGTCCAGTAGAGCATGACGTTGGTCAGCAGGTCGTCCAGGGAGAACTTCCTGCGGAAGCAGCCCCGGAAGGCCCCTCAGTGCCAGGCGCGGCTTTCAGGCTGCGAGCGCCGGGGACCCCCGCCCGCCTGGCTTCCTGCTCAGACCTCGCCTGAGGCTGGTGCATTAGCCCCAAGGCGCCCGGGCCCGGGGCCGCCAGCTACCAGGATGGCAGGAGACGGGGCAGGCTTGGCCCGGGGCCCTGTGGACACCTCCCCCACTCAGCATGGGACCCCACCCAGGCTGTGGGGCTCCACACATGGGGAGGAAGGAGCCATCTGGTTCTTATTGCTGGGGCCCGAGGTCTGTAGACCCCGAAACCCCACATTCTCCTGGCTCCACCTGCCCCTCGGGCTCTGACCTCTTGCTGGGCTCCCTCATGCTACCCTGTGTCCAAAGCCCCCTGGAGCCCTCCATGGCCCCCCCCGTCCAGCTGCTGGTGCCCACCACTTCTGCCCCGATGCCCTCCCCCTGCTCATCTTCCGCCCCTCCAGCCTCCAGCCCTCCCCTGCCCACAGTCTGACGTCCATGCCACCCAGGCCTGCCTTCCCGCCTCCCCTCTGCCCCGTCTCTCCTGCCCCCCCAATGCCTCAGCACCCCCCCCCCCCCACTGCAGCTGCCAGCCCGCACTTGCCCGCCCCCCATTCAGGTAGGGGCTTCTCACTTCTCCTCCCTGCTCCTGGGGCTGCTGCTGGGCCTGCTTGTTCCCCCCAGACCACAGTCATTTCCTCCGGTCCAACCCCTCCCCGGGCTCCAGATCTCTGTCTGGTTACCAAGCGGGCACCTCCCACTCAGCACGTCCATGCCGGAAGTGGCCCCTGCATCTCTGCTGAGCCCCTCGCAGACACACACACTCTCAGATGCAAGTGCACCCACACACGCATGCTCACACGGGCACACGTGTCTATCCAAACCCACGGGCGCTCACACGGGCACACGTGTCTATCCAAACCCACGGACGCTCACATGTGCACACTTCCATCATCCAAATGCGCACACACACTCAGAGGCTCCCCTCCTCATTCCCTATTTCCTGCTTGACGAAGGAAGGGCGTCCCTGCAGCCTGGTGGGGAGGTAGAAATTTCTACCTCTGCTGCTGCCTCCCCCCTCACCCCCCTGAGCCCTGGCTGTCCCCCTTCCCCCCCCCCAGGCCCTGCTGATGTCACTGCGCCTGAATTGAGGAACTTGCCGATGCTCCCACTTGGCTCCCCAGCTCTCAGCCAATAAGTGTAGTTGATACATCAGGCCAATGTGCTGAATTTGCTTGTGTGTGTCAGCCTCTAGTTGTAGTTGGCCGTTTTATCCTCAGCACCACAGTTTAAGGAACATTAAGCCCTAACCACGGCCCTGCTCCCAACCAGTGCAGCTCCAGCGGGCGAGGGGCGAGGGGCGCAAGAGTGGGGTACTGACATTAGACACAAAAACACGAAGCATTTGTAAGGAGAGAGGCTTCTCCAAAATGATGAATACGTTCATAAGGCATCTTCCCGTTCAGAAGTAACCGTTCCTTGGGGTCTAGCAACAGCGGTGTGGAGGAGGACAGGGGAAGAAGCGACTTTGAATTGCTCTTTGGAGGACCGTGGAAATCGTCCAGTGAGAAACGGACAGTCAGAATCGTGAATGGTCAGAACCAGCTTTCAGCGAGATGCCCAGGGGCTCCCATCTCCCCCTGGGCTCTGATGATAGCTAGCAAATGACCCCACCCACCCTCCCCGCCCTAGTGCAGGCAGGGATCTTGCTAGAACACAGCTGAGCTAGTCTGTGCCCTGTGTCTGGCTGCAGGTATTGGTGGGCAAGGAGCAGGGCCACCCCTTTGCCAAGGGGCTGCTGGTGGAGCCCCATTGCCCCGGGTCCTGCCCAGTGTGGGGCAGGGAATGGATCCCAGGGTGAGGGCTTGTGCGCGGGCTCCTGGTCCAGCCCCCCGCGTACCTGCCCCAGCCTCGGCAAAGTCAGCCTTTCCCAGAGCGCCTCGCGTTTCTATCACTCTCACCTTCGCTTCTGCTCTTCTCTCTGCCTAAATTCTCTGCTTCTACCCTTTCCGCCGGCAAACTCCTACTCATCCCTCAAGGCCCAGGCCAAATAGATTCTCCCGGTCACTTCCCCTCCCTGCCCGGTAGACGGAGCAGATCCTCTTTTCTCTGGACTCGCACAATCTTCCAGAGCTCATTCGTCTGGTGCGTGTTTGTCGAGCTCCTTCCTTCCAGGCGCTGGGGCTAGGGCATGACCTAGACACGGTGCCGTGGCCGAGGCGGGAGCCAGCCCCACCTCGCCTCTCACCACAGCGCTGTGTCTGGTGCTCTGCGTGCCCCCAAGGCAACAAAGAGGGGGAGGGGTGCTGGAGAAGCTGGGTCAGGGCTGACCTTGGTGGCGCCTGAGTCAGGCCAGAGGCCCGGGAGTCACCCTGCAGCTGCCTCCAGGCTTCCCCCAGGGCACACGGTCAGGAAGCCGTGATGATGCCGGGCTCCCGTGGGCTCAGGCACGGGCGGGGGGCCCTGGCTGCTCACGCCTCTTGGCAATAAAGGGGCACTCACTGCCCCCGGGGCCCGCTGATCCCAGGAGGGTGCTGTCGAGCAAACGGACCACAGACAGTCTCGAGCCCTGCGTCCTATTCCCGACCACTCCCCTGGGAGGCTTGGAGCAAATCGCTAGACCTCTCTGCTTCCACTTCCTCATCCGGAGGAACTGGGGCCAGTTTCACCAGGGTGAGGGCCTGAGGGGCACCCAGCAGTAGCTGGGACATGCTGGCTGGTGGCTGGAGGGTAGGGTCTCACCTCTCCAGGCCTCCGTCCTCTAGGTCTCGGAACTCCGGGTTGGTCCAGGTGGAGAACTTCTCCAGGATATAGGCAGCTAGGCCCACAGGAGAGTCATTCAGAGCGCAGCCTGGGGTGGGGAGAAGCGAGGGAGGGATTCAGGCCTGGGACCAGTGAGCGGTCAGGGCCCCGTGTCGGGGCACAGCTCCGCCCTGACCTTGGGGTGCTCAGGCACCCCCCATCTACTTAACCCTTGGCCTCGGAGCTCTCATCTGAGAAAAAGGGGTAAAACCGCCCCCACTGCATGGGCAGCTAGCTTTCTGTGTTTGGGGAGATCCGGATGGGAAATATGTATGAATGCTGGTTTTAAAAAGGTGGGGTTTGGGGTGCCTGGCTGGCTCAGTCCGAAGAACATGCAACTCTTGATCTTGGAGTCGTTGAGTTTGAGCCCCACGTTGGGTATAAGAGATTACTTAAATAAATAAAAAAACTTAAAAAAAAAGGTGGAGTTTTTAGTTTATATGCTCTGGTTTGTGAAAATGAAGAAACCTAAAAGTCCAAATTAGGGGAAGAGTTCCAAATGAATATCGACCCCCTCTACCCGCCCCAGTCCTTGAGCTGCCGGGCCCCCAGGCTCCCTCCTCGACTTAGGCTCAGGGTGCAGGGGTCAGGGGTCAAGGCCCCGGAGCACACCGAATCAGCTCGAGCAGGCGTCTGGAATGCGCTGGCCATGTATCGACTGACCTCTGCCCGGAAGTACTGGGTGAGAAAGAATTCGGGGCCCTCCCGGGAGGTTTTCATCCCAGAGCAGTGTTGTCGGGTGGGTGAGGCCCCCTGGCTGGGCGCCCGGCTGAATGGGAGGGGTGTGGCCCCTGCCCCAGGGGAGAAGGCCGCAGCGTCCGGAGCACGCACTCACCCACGGTGTCGGGTTTGGTGCACTGGATGTGCATATAACCGCTCTCCCTCATCAAGCTGTAGAAAACCTTCTCCTTGAAGGGGTGCAGCAGCTCTATATCCCTCTGGGTGTAGCCGAAAAGCCTCGGGAAACGCCGTCCCAGGAGAAGGGTCAGGGTGCCGGGATTTAAAACGAAAGCCATGTTCAAGTGCAGGCCTTTCACGTGGCTGAGGGCAGAGAGAAGGTCCAGGTGAGGCTGACACAGGGCTGGGGAGGGGAGACGAGGAGGAGGCCGCGGGGCTGAGATGCGCAGCACCAGCCCTCTTGGAATCTGCACCTCTAGGGCGGCCCCATGACAGGGAGGAGGGGGTTGGCGAGGAAAATACAGAGTTTCTAGAAAGTTCTGGGCTCTTCTGGGGCTTGGTGCACCAGAAATGTCCACTGCCTGACTTTCCCCTCCTCTATCTGGCCCTCTCTGCCTGGGTACCTGGCCCAGAGTCCCCAACCCTGTGTGACACCCAATAGAGAGAGAATCCACGTCAAGGTGCCCCAGGCACGGCAGGGTGACGGGGGGGGGCCCTCCCTCCCCCTCCCCCCAGGCCCACAGACACCCTGCCTGGGTGGCCCCCGGCAAGAGGACGCTCCAAGTCTCAGCTAGCGTGCCCAGGCGGAATCCCCTGCACAGATCGCTACCCCACCCACCTGACAGGGACCCTCACCTGGGCACCATCTGGGCCATGTTGGTGCAGATCAGGGACCCCCAGTCCCCGCCCTGAACATAGAATTCCTGGAAGCCCAGCCGCAGCATCAGCTTATAAAAGATCCTGGCCGTGGCCACTGAATTCAAGCCTGGTTTGAAGGGGAGAGGGAAGAGAATCACAGGGAGGTCACTCCCTGGGTCCTCCTGGGCTCCTAGGAAATTCCTCACCTCCCCCCGCCCCCGTTTGCCCCAGGCTGGGGTCACAGCGGCTCACGGGAGGGCAGAGGGTTCGGGGTCCCCACGGCAGCATGGCCAGCGCCCAGCAGGCAGGCATCTGCGTGGCAGAGAGGGACGGCGAGGGGATGGCCACGCAGCGAGGGTGCGGTGAGCTCAGGCTAGCGCCGCGAGGTTCTGGGGGCCCTGCTGCCCGCAGGCTGGCCTGGGCTGCTCTGCCCATCCCCTGCCCACGGCACCCGGCAGAGCCCAAGAAGGGGCGCCGGCCATCTGGCCCCCCAGGCTCCGAAGGGAGCTGTCCCGGCTGGCTCCCCGCCTGTGGGAAGACCTGGCCCCCAGCAGCCCCCATACCCTTTTTGGAGGATGCCTCCGAGAAGCCGTAGCCGGGAATGGAAGGGCAGATGACTTCAAAAACGTGCTCCTCGCTCAGGCCGTGGTTCCTGGGGTCGGTCAGGAGCGGGATGATCTTATAAAACTCGTAGAAGGAGCCGGGCCAGCCGTGCACCATCAGCAAGGGCTTCGGGGTGCAGCCCGATGGCGGCTGGGGGGGCTTCACGTGGATGAAGTGGATGTCCAGCCCTGGGAGGTAGAGCACGGTTAGCCCATGGGGAGTGGGGAGGCCCCGCAACGGGGGAGGCTGCAGCCACGGCCCTCCGCATGTCCAGGCAGGCTCTGCAGCGCCCCCCGCCCGCCCCCCGCCTCCCCGGAGCCCAGGCAGTGGAGGCGGCGCCCTCAGGGGCCCACGGTGCTGGGCTGGCTGTGTGCCTACTCCGTGCTCCGGCTGCACGGCCGCCCTGCAACGGACAGACCGTGACCATGCCCCCTACACATCGGGGCACGAGCCCTGTGAGGCTGGGGCAGGGGCTGCTCGCGCACTGCCCGCTTCCCAGAGCCCAGCGCAGGTCCTGGCTCCTGGTGGCCCTTGGGGAAGGCTGCCTAATAATGTGGAGACCGGGGGAGGGGCGCCCGGCCCGCTCGGTCAGTAGAGCACTCCTGATCTCGGGGTTGTAAGTTCGAGCCTCGTGCTCAGTGTAGAGATCACTCAAATATAAAACCTTTAAAAAAAAAAGGGGGGGCGCCTGGGTGGCTCAGTCGTTAAGCGTCTGCCTTCGGCTCAGGTCATGATCCCAGGGTCCTGGGATCGAGTCCCACATCGGGCTCCCTGCTCAGCGGGAAGCCTGCTTCTCCCTCTCCCACTCCCCCTGCTTGTGTTCCTGCTCTCGCTGTGTCTCTCTCTGTCAAATAAATAAATAAATAAAAATTAAAAAAAAAAAGATTGAGGGACATCTGGGTGGCTCAGTCGTTAAGTGTCTGCCTTCGGCTCAGGTCATGATCTCGGGGTCCTGGGATCCAGCCCCGCATGGGGCTCCCTGCCTGCTCAGTGGGGAGTCTGCTTCTCCCTCTGACCCTCCCCCCTCTCATGTGTGCGCTCTCTCAAATAAATACATAAAATCTTAAAAAAAAAAAAGTTTTCGGGCGCCTGGGTGGCTCAGTTGGTTAAGCAACTGTCTTCGGCTCAGGTCATGATCCTGGAGTCCTGGGATCGAGTCCCACATCGGGCTCCCTGCTCAGCGGGGAGTCTGCTTCTCCCTCTGACCCTCTTCCCTCTTGTGCTCTCTATCTCTCATTCTCTCTCTCTCAAATAAATAAAATCTTTAAAAAAAAAAGTTTTCTCCAAGCAATGAAATTTCAAGTGAATTATTTTTTTTTTAAAGATTTTATGTATTTATTTGAGAGAGAGACAGAGAGAGCACAAGTGGAGGGTGGTGGGGGCAGAGGGAGAAGCAGACGCCCCACTGAGCAGGGAGCCTGACACGGGACTCGATCCCATGACCCTGAGATCATGACCTGAGCTGAAGGTAGATGTTTAACCGACTGAACCACCCAGGTGCCCCTGAATTATTTTCTTTTTTTGTGTTTTCTGTACTTCCTAATTTTTCAACAAGGGATATAAATTCAAAGCATAACTTTTTTTAAGTGGAGACATTTTTTTAAAGTTGAGTTGCGTGCTGGGCACTGGGAACACATCCAGGCCAGGGGTGGCTGAATGGGCTCCAGGCCCCCCAGAGTCCCTCCAAGGATGGTCCCTTCCTAGGCAAGTGGCCCGGAGAGCACCTGGTCGTTCAGGGCAAAGAGCCTGCGCTGCCGTCACACCTGCAGCCCTGCACCACGACCAGCTCACGTTCTGGTGGGTTATTAACTCATTACATAAATAATATATGTTTACTGTAAGAAACGGAAAACAGATAAATCAAAAGGGGGAAAAATCACAAGTAGTACCACTATCTGGAGAGAACACTGTGCTGTCTTTCCAAATTTTTAAAAATAAATTTGTTATTTTGGAACGATTTATTTTAAGGGATCCCTAATGCCCAAGGTGGGGCTTGAACGCACGACCCCAAGGTCAAGATTAGCATGTTCGGGGCACCTGGGTGGCTCAGTCGGTTAAGCATCCGACTCTTGGTTTTGGCTTAGGTCTTGATCTCACAGTGGAGCCTACATTAAAAAAAAAAGTCTCACGCTCCACAGAGCCAGCCAGGCGCCCTTATCTTGGAACAATTTCAGATTTATAGAAATATAGTGAGGAGAGTACAGGAAGTTCCCATGAACCCCACACCCAGTTTCCCAGTCATTAACGGCTTACGTTAGTCGGGTACATTTGTTACAAGGAAGGAACCAGTACTGATACGTTAATAACTCTACTAAAGTCCATCATTTATTCAGATCTCCTTAGTTTTAGAAACATTTGTATTTTAAAATTTTATGGTAGGAAGAGCATTTAGTCCCTCCTTACAAATTGCTAAGCGTGCCATCCGGTACTGCTGACCGCGGGCACGACGCGGGCCAGCAGGTGTCTAGAACTTACTCATCTGTCGTAACTGAGACTCTACAACCGTTACCGAGCGTCTCCCCGTCTCCCCACCATCCGCCTTTCTGCTGCTATGAGCTGCACAATCTGGGAGCCCCCCATACATGGGATCGTGCAGTATTTGTGCTTGTATCACTGGCTTATTTCACTCAGCAGAATGTCAAGGTTCATCCATGTGGTCACCTAGGGCAGGGTTTCCTTCTTTTTAAAGGCTGAATAACACTGGTGTCCACAGACAATGGAATACGGCTCAGATGTCCTGAGTTTTTACCTAACGTCCTTTTCCTGTTGCAGGATCCCATCCAGGACCCCACATTACGTTCAGTTGTCATGTCTCCTTAGACTCCTCTGGACAGAGGCAGTTCAGACTTTCTTTTTTTTAAAGATTTATTTATTTGAGAGAGAGTGAGAGAGAACACGCACAAGTGGGGGAAGGGGCAGAGGGAGAGGGAGAGAGACTCTCAAGCGAGCTCTGAGCTGAGCGTGGAGCCAGACGCGGGGCTCGATCTCACGACCCCGAGATTACGACCTGAGCTGAAACCAAGAGTCAGACGCTCAATCGAGGGAGCCCCTCAGGCGCCCCCAGTTCAGACTTTAAAAAAAAATAGATCATAACTTTCTTCGAACAAAAATAGAACGCTACATCCATTCTATTGTGGAGCCTTCTGTGCGTGTCCCTCTAAGTTGCTGTGTTTACTCCTGCTCTAGAGTTCTTTTCGGAAGGTAACCTTTCCTCCTTCGGAACACGCGGCACGATGTGAGAGATCTCTAATTCATCTGAGTGTAGAGTTGGGGAGCCCCATGCACACACACGCGTGCCGGAGCGCACGGGCGATCCCTGGAGGCGTGGGTGTGAGCACGCGTGAGAGGGAAGAAGCCGTCCCGGGGCGGGAACCGGTGGCCATGGCGGGGCTGGGGCGAGAGGGAGGCTGCCTTTTCACCATGTCCTTGCATACTGTTCGAATTTTAAATATTTGAATTTTAAAAATGAAGAAAAATGTTAAAGCCCATATTTCCTCATTGACCCTGCAGGAGGCTTCCCTTGGTGGAGGAAGCAAGGCCCCCGCTCCCGGGTTTTTCCAGCTGGTCTGTGGTTCTGTGGGGTGATCCAAGCCTGTCCGCTCTGAACTGAGGAGCTGAGCTGGGCACTGGGCCTGGTGGGTGGCGACAGGGGGGGAAGCTGGGGGGTGTCAGGGCCCAGGGCCTGAGCCGGGATAGGGGCTTGAGATGAACGGTCCAGGGCTGAGCTGGCCCTGGCCCTGAACCTCGGCCTCCCGGTGACTCAGCAACGCTGTCCTCTCTGGAGGCGATGGGCTGGGCCTGAGGCCTCCGAGGCCCTGCCCGCTTGCTGCCAGACTCTGTGGCTAGAGACGGATCTCCGGAGGGAGGCTCAGGCCTCCTCACAGGACAGGGAAGCACATGCAGAGCCCAGAACGCCAGGGTAGGGGCAGAGAGGACCCCAGAAAGGTCTGAGCCTGAGGGACCAACGAGGACGGCAGCAGACGGAGGAAGGAGGGAGGCCTTCTTGGACCACCCAGGCCGGGGACCGAGGGAAAGATGCACAAAGGTGTGCTGGGCCGGGGCCGGGCCGCCAGCCAGGGCAGGTGGCTGGACTGCACGTGGGTTCAGTCACAGCTGTGGTCTGGGATGACTCGATGCCCGAAGTCGCCCCCTTTGGAGCGCTTGCACTGTTCTGTGCCGTGATGTCCAGGGGGTAAGGCTTTCTCGAGCCTGCAGCCTCCAGGAAGGGAAGACCCCCTTCGTGCCGCTTGCCTCTGGGTTTTTGAACGTGCTGTTCCCTCCTCCCGGACCACCTTCCCCACATAAGTGGTAAACTCCTATTCATCCTTTAAGTCTCAGCTCAGATGCGCCCCCCCAGGAAGCCTTCCGTCACACTCCCAGGTGGCATGGGCTCACGAAGCTCCCAGAGCCTTCTCCCTCCCAGAACCCCTTAACCCTGATGGTTAGCATCACCCCAGAGTGAAGGCAGGGACCCCGTTCTCTGGCTGTGTCCCCAGCCCCAGCAGAACGCCTGGGTCCACGAGATGCCTGCCTGTCAGCATCTGTTAGAGGACCAGTGAAGAGCTGGGGCAACAGAGTCACGCAATCACCATGAGGAAGCCAGGCCACCTGGCACCAGCGATGCGAAAGGCAACCTTTGGAAATTATATACGAGGACCTGTATGTACTTTGGCTTGCATGAAGTGGCCTAGGTCCTCTGGCGAGGCTCATGACGAAGATATCAAAGTCCCCCAAAGGGCACAGCAACCACTGATTTATGTGTAATATTAGTCCTCACCTTATTAAAGCTACAAATTTAAAAACCTAGCTCTCTATTAAGCCTGAGTTCAACTTACAAGTATTGTTCTCTCTATATTGTTCAAATTTTATTATTATTTTTTAAAGATTTTTTTAAAGTCATCTCTACACCCAGTGCGGGGGCTCGAACTCACAACCCCCCGAGATCAAGAGTCACACGGCTCTCCCGACTGAGCCAGCCGAGCATCCCTTCTATATTTATTTAATCTAAGCAATGTTGACAGTTATTCTCCAGAGGCCTCTGATTAACGGATGGTTGCACTTCTATTTTTTTTCTTAGTTCGTATTTTATTGGACTGATTTGACTGATTTTCACCATTTGAGACCTAAAGATAACAGGGCTGAGAATGTCAACAGCAAAAGAAGCCACCCACAAATGAGTCAACTGGAAAGGTTCATGTTATCTTTGGATTGGAATTGAGGGAAAAAGCTGTTCAGAGCTGAAGGAAGGTCCTTAAATCAAGACTACTGATACAAGGGTCAGTTTATGGAAATTAAGTCCCGAATTGCACAAATGCCCACTAGGCAGGAGAAATGGGCAGGACAGAAGGACGTGGGCTGTGGGGACAGCTCGTCTGCACTAGGGACGGCTGGGCTGGGCCCCGGAGGTAGGAGGCTGGAAGTCTAGAGGCAGGTTAGCACATTCACCCAAAACCCTTGTTTCCCAGTCCGTCTCGAGGATGCAGCAGTTTTCCTCAGACAAAGGGATGGTTGCACTTCTAAACTTGCTTAGTGACGCTCCTTTAAACACGGCATGATTTCAATTTCCTTTTTAAGAACTTTAGTTGATCTGCCTGACTCGTATGTCTTCCACTTACTTTAAGTTAATTCTCAAAATTTTGATAGATTTATAACTATGGTAAATCCTAAATCTTCCAATACTGCATATAAGCTCAGGGAGATTTTCACATAAAATCACAGATCTAAACCCATTACTGTTACACACTCTAAATTAGAATGCAAAAGTCTTGTCTGTTACTTGGAAAGGCCAAATTCTCTCAAACATGACGAATATTTACAATTCCAAAAATGGGGGCGCCTGGGTGGCTCGGTCTGTTAAGCGTCTGCCTTCAGCTCAGGTCATGATCCCGGGGTCCTGGGATCGAGCCCCACGTTGGGCTTCCTGCTCAGTGGGGAGTTTGCTTCTCCCTCTGCCGCTCCCCCGGCTTGTGCTCCCTCTCTCTCGAATAAATAAATGAAATCTTAAAAAAGGAAGGAAAACATGATAGCTGCTACAATACGGATGAACTCTGAGGACCTGGTGCCAAGCGCAGCAAGCCAGGCAGAAGGACAAATGCTCTACTCTTAAGAGGTATTCAGGTACAGAATTCATATCTAAATTCAGAGACAGAAAGTAGAATGATGGCTTCCACAGGTGAGGGAAAGGGGAGAAATGGGGATTACTGTTTAATGGGACAGAGTTTCAGTTCTGCAAAATAAAAAAGCTCTGAAGATGGATGGTGATGATGGTTGCATAAGGATATACACATGCCGAATGCCCCTGAACCGGGGTATTATATTTGCTTGACAGTGGTCGAAATGGTCAATTTTCTGTAATGTATGTTTTACGATAATTAAAAATAGATTTTTTAAAAAGTAACACTATGAGCTTGAATTTCCTAAACATTCTAGGTGCTTTTTAAAGATTTTATCTTTTATTTTATTATTATTTTTAAAGATTTTATTTTTAAGTCATCTGTACACCACAACCTGGAGATCAAGAGTCGCACACTCCATGGACCAAGCCAGCCAGGCGCCCCAACACTTCTGCTTGATTCTGAATCTTTCTGGGGTTAAGATAAGCTTTTCCAACAGACAGACAGACCAGTGGAACAGAACTGAGAGCCCGGAAATAACCCCAGGCATATACAGTCAACTAATCTTTGACAAGGACACTGAACGGGAGAGAAGACAGTCTCTTCAGTCAGTGGCGCCGGGATAACTGGATATTCACATGGAAAACAATGGAGCTGGACCCCTACCTCACACCATTCACAAAAATTAACTCGAAATGGATCAAAGACTTAAATATAAGACCTGAAACCACGAAACTCCTGGAAGGAAACACAGACACAAAGCTCCCCCGACGTGGGTCCTGGTGATGGTTTCTTGCATGTGACACCTAAAGCTCAAAGCAACTGAAGCAAAAATAAACAAGTGGACAACATCAAACTAAAAAGCTTCTGCACAGCAAAGACAACCTGTGGAACGGGAGAAAATATCTGCAAACCATACATTTGATAAGGGGTTAATCTCCAAAATACAGAAAGAACTCATCGACTCAGTAGCAGAAAAACCACCCAATTAAAACATGGGCAAAGGACCCGAACAGACGCTTCTCCAGAGAAGACATCCAGACGGCCAACAGACACAGGAAAGGATGCTCAACATCACTCATCCTCAGGGAAATGCAAATCGAAACCACAGTGAGATCCCACCTCACACCTGTCAGAATGGCCATGATCAAAAAGATAAAAACACAAGAGATACCCAGTGTTGGTGAGGATGTGGAGAAAGGGGAACCCTCGTGCACTGTTGGTGGGAGCGCAAACTGGTGCAGCCACTCTGGAAAACAGTATGGAGGTTCCTCAAAAAATGAAAAACAGAATGACCATGTGGTCCAGCAATTCCATTTTGGGGAATATATATATAAAAAAATGAAAACACTAATTCAAAAAGACATCTGCACCCCATGTTCACTGAAGCATTATTTACAGTAGCCAAGACACGTCTATGGATGGATGAACGGATCGAGACATCGTGGTATAAATGTGCACAATGGAATATTATTCAGCCATAAAAAAACGAGGAAGTCCTACCACTTGAGACAACATGGCGCCTTCATTACGCTAAGTGATATAAGCCAGATGGAGAAAGGATCTCACTGATCTAGAACAACAAACAAACTCAGAAAAAGAGATTAGATGCGTGGTTACCAGAGGGGGTGGGGGGGCTGAGGGAGGGGTCAGAGGGTCCAAACCCCAGGTGCATGGTAAGTAAGCACCAGGGGTGTTCCGTAGCTGACATGCTGTGGGACTTGGAGGGAAGCTAAAATGCTGAGTTCTCGCCACAAGGAGGAAAGTGTTTTCTCTCTTTGCATTGGATCTGTACGAGAAACTGGACGTTAGCAGAACCTCCTGTGGTGATCATTTCACCACAAATATAACCCAAACCCTCATGCCGTATGCCTCAACCTCACACCGTGATGGGTCTCAGTTATTTCTCAGACTGGGGAAAAATGCTTTTCCACTGAGGAAACTGTTCCCTCAGCCCAAATGATCTTGGGGTGACCTTGCCCAGAGAATCTGAGAGGCACCTTCCCTGCAGGCAAAGCTGTGGGACCACCTACCCTCCAGGGGGCACATGAGGTGGAGGGCTGCAGACAGAAAGGGTAATTTCTCATAGGACTCTGATGGGCCGAGCAGCCTGAGCGGACATGGTACCCCGGACTCCAAAACCTTGGGAGGGGTTGAGCTGCCCGAGGCCACGTTCTCTCCTCTCCAAGGCTGTTCTGTCACTGGGCCCGATTCTGCATTTCTTTGGCTTTTCAATGATCTCTGAGTTTCCCTGTCTTGCTCGAGGGCCCACTGCGTTTGTGGGGATTCGGCATTCTTTCTGCCCCAGCGAGGTGACCCTACAAATACATCTGGAGGACCGGTATTTGGATTCTAAGTGGGGTCTAAGTCACGCCCTGCACCTGCGGAGGCCGCTCCCATGACAGACCGCCCTCACCAGCAGCTGTTGAGCAAACCTACCTTCAATCTTCGTCTTGAAGTGAGGGTATCTGTTGAGAATCTCCACCTGCTTCCTCCAGTCGAAGCCATTCCGCCAGTAGGAAAGGATTTTCCTCAGGTACTTGGAGTTGAAGCCAAAATGGAAGCGCACGTCCTCCAAAGGTGGGGTCAAACGGACCCTGTCGATCCTCCGGTGTAAGTCCTGGAGCAAAACGCGGGACCCCGGGGAGGGAGAGGGGTTGGGGGGTGCAGAGCACAAAGCAGGCTTATTTCCAGAACACAGAGGAAGCCTGCAGCAACAAGACAGCGTGACAGCAGAGGAAAGCCACCTCGTCCCGTTGGAGGGTGAGGAGGTCGCCGGTCTGCAGACGTGTGTCCTGGGCTGCCAGGGTCACCCCAGAAGGAGCCTCCTTGTTTCCCACAACAGTGGCTGTTCCCAAAGTCTATGTTCTTCACTTTTTATTTTTTTTAGATTTTATTTTTATTTATTTATTTGAGAGAGAGAGAGCACATGAGAGGGGGGAGGGTCAGAGGAAGAAGCAGACTCCCCGCTGAGCAGGGAGCCCGATGCGGAACTCGATCCCGGGACTCCAGGATCATGACCTGAGCCGAAGGCAGTCGCTTAACCAACTGAGCCACCCAGGCGCCCTGTTCTTCGCTTTTTAAAAAATTAATTTGAGAGAGACCGCGCGCATGCGTGCTTGCAATAGGGAGGGCAGAGGGAGAGAGAATCTCAAGCAGGCTCCCCCCTGAGCGCAGAGCCCGATGCAGGGCTTGGTCCCGGGGCCCCGAGATCACGACCCGAGCTGAAACCAAGAGTCGGCCACTGAGCCGACGGAGACCCCCAGGTGCCCCTATGTTCTTCACCTTTGACTTCATGTTTACTTCTCCTCTTTGTTTTTAACCCCATGAACGATACGCATCTTTAACTTCTCTGGGCTTACGCGTGGCCGGCAAACCTGTTTTGTCAGAGGCCGGACAGTAACTATTTTAGGCTTTTCTCGCAGCCACTGGGCCACTCTGTCCCCGGAGCCTGGAAGCAGCCAGAGGCAGGACGCGGACGAATGGACACGGCTATGTGCCAATAACACTGTATTTATGGACACAGAAATCTGCGCGCCATGTACATTTCACCCGTCCCAAGACTGTTCTTTTTGTTTTCAGCTGTTTGAAGATGAAAAAGCTCTTCTCAGCATGGGGGCTGTATAAACAGGGGGCAGGACAGATGTGTCCCACGGGCTGTGGTCAGACTCCGAGCCTCAGCACTGAGGGAAACACGGTACCTCCATTGGGATCAAGACACAGACCAGGGGGCGCCTGGGGGACTCAGTCCTTAAGCATCTGCCTTCGGCTCAGGTCATGATCCCAAGGTCCTGGGATCAAGCCCTGCATCGGGCTCCCTGCTCCACGGGAAGCCTGCTTCTCCCTCTCCCACTCCTCCTGCTTGTGTTCTCTCTCTCGCTGTGTCTCTCTCTGTCAAAAAAATAAAATCTTAAAAAACAAAAAACAAAAAACAAAAAGACACAGACCAGGAGAGAAGGCGCAAGCCTACTGGCTGAGCATCGGGCTAGGACGTCTGCGTCCGCTCCTGGGGCCTCCCAAGTGTTACCTTCTCAGTCAGTATCCTCCCGAGCACTCCAGGCGCCCAGGGTTCGGATGTTTGAGACTCTGAGTCTGAGAACCCACAGAAGGCGTTATCCTCAGGGCCCAGCCTCCACCCTGAACAGTGAGGCGGCGTCAGCCCTACCCAAGGAGCATCAGCCTGCTTTCTCTTGGGTGCAGCCTGCTTTCTGTTTTTTGAAAGCTCACTTTTTACTGGCACGTCTTATGGCATCCTCCGTCATTAACCCCTCGGTTACCTTTCCTCCATGCCCAGTCCTTCTCTCGACTGCGGGACTGTGAGTGAACGGCGGGAAGGGCCTCTCTCTCCACCGGGCACCCAGCACCGCGCCTGCATACAGCAGGTGCTCCGATATGCATAGCCCGAGAGCAAGAATGGGCGGGGACGTCCTGGGTCCTATTCACCCTCCTGGCCCAGGAGCCCACCCCACTGGGCACGGCCCCCTAACTCCAGCGTGGGGAGGGGCACAAGCTCTGGAGTTGGACGGACTCCAGTTTGAATCCTGCTTATTATCTCAGTCACCTGGGGTAAATTGCTTTACCTCTCTGAGCTTCAATTTCTGCACCTGTAGAGGGAACGACAGTCCTCACCCTACAGGGTCACTGCAGGGACTGAACGTGACCACACGCACCTGTGACACAGCAGGCGCATAATTAATGCTGACCCTGCGGCAGCTTCTCTGTACCCGAGCATTTGATGTCACCACGGCTCGCTTCTCACTCAGGACCTCCGCCCGGGGCCCTGATGAGAACCTGCTGGCTTTCTCCTGCAAGCTTACTCCCAGGGTTTCATGGGGGCGCAAAGGAGGAGGAAGCTGCTTTCTGTGACCTTCGATGCAGGTGCCCGAGGCCAGCTGGGACGCCCCTCTCACCTGGGCCCTGCTGGGCCGCGGGCAGGGGAAAGAGGAGACAGAGGAGGAAGGAGCAGAGGGGACGGGTGGGCAGGGGGGCAGGCTGGGCATGTCTCTCTCTCTGCACCTGCCCGGTGGGAGAAAAGCAGAGGGAAACCCGCTCCCCAGGCCCGTCCCAGCCCCAGCCTCACGGGAACCACTGAAGGGGCCTCGCTGCCCTCCCCTCTGCTCAGCCCCCCTGCAAAAGGTGCCTTACCTCGATCTCCTCCTCGGAAGTCTCAACCTTGAAAGGGCGGATGCTCTCGTCCTCTGCAGCTTCGGGCCTCGCCCCAGGCCCCCACCACCCATCTTCAAGAGGCAACGTTTCCTCCTTGTCCCGGGAAACAAACCAGTAGATGACAAAGCCCAGCACGGAGGTGAGGAGAATTTCCAGCCACATGATTCCTGCAAGAGCGAGAAGCCGAATCCCCACCTGCTCTCCCACCTGGCCCCTGACGTCATGTACTTTTTTTTTTTTTTTGACTATTATAAAAGTTGATTTAACAAAAAAGTTCAATATGAAAATGCACACGACCCGATTTTTATATTGTTGTAAAACAGGTACTATGGAGGGGACATGTGGAGGCAGTTGATTTCTTCTGATGAACACACCCATTGTTTATACTCGCTCCAAGCCTTCTAACATGATGATACTATTTCCTCGTATTACCACCATTCCGATATTGTTCTGTTGCCCACTAGTTGCCATCTCCACACATTCATCTATCACAAGATTCATAAACGAATCGAACCCCTGCAATATTCCTTGGACATGTCTGCCACCACTTAATTTCAATGACAATTTCTTGTCCATAAATTTTTTCAACTCGGGAGGGTGAGCTTTGCTCATGGTGTCTACTCCGCGAGCTCAAAGATGCCTCCAAACGGAATTTGTGGCGTCCCACACGCTCCCCCGGTACGCCCCTGTACTTTTTTTAAAAAGTAAGCACCACGCCCAGCACGGAGCCCAGTGCGGGGCTCGAACTCACAACCCTGAGACCAAGACCTGAACTGAGATCAATAGTTGGACCCTTAACCGACTGAGCCCCCCAGGGACCCCAGACCTCAGGTACTTCTGACCTAGAAAAAGAATATAAGCACATAGAAGAACTGGAACCCAAGAAAAAAAAAGACAAGACTCATCTGTAATTCTACTGAGCTATGAAATTCATTCTTCGAATTAGAAATATACGCACGCAGGGCGGCTTCTCCATAGCCCCGGGTGTGGGGGCTGCACTTCCGTGGCCTCGCGTTTCTCTGAGAGGCCTTCAACTCTGGAAGCTTCTCTTCACCCTCGTGAGTGTCCCCCCCTCCGAGGAGAGCTGGGCTCCATAGGCTCCGCCCCTTACTGTCTCTGGAGGGACCTGTCCCCATGCACATCAGGAACCAGCAGGGAGGTTTGGGGGGTGTCATAGGGGGAGTGTTATGAGGCCCGAACATGGCCACATGTTTCAGCTGTAATTTTAAAACAGTTTTAGGAGGAATTCACATGCCGTACAATTCACCTGCCTCAAGTGTAGGATCTGGTGATTTTTAATGCATTCGCAGCTATGTGCGTTCAGAACCACCATTTTAGAACATTTCCATCACCACAAAGAGAAACCCCATAGGTCTCAGCCCCTTGATGTCCCCATGGCGGCCCAGCCCTAGGCAACCACGAACCCCCTTTCTGTCTGTGTAGACCTGCCTATCACGTTCGTAGAAGCTGTCCGAGTCCTCTTTGCCGAAGGACCCGCTGGGGACTTGCCGAGGCCCTGAGGTTGGCTCCTGCCGCAGCCGCCCCCCTAAACCAGGCCACCGGGGGGCTGGTCCTTGAAATCCTGGTCCGCGGGCGTCCAGAAATCACTTAGGCTCCCTGCCCTTCCTGCAGCACCTCAGAGATCAAAAGTCCCTTGCTGTCCCCACCCCACTGACACAGGGGACGAGTGTGCGCCCCCCTCCCCACCCCAGGCCTTCTCGCTGCTGGGGGCTCGCGGTCTGGGCAGGTGACAGGCAATGTTGGGGAGGGCTTCCTCCGGGCTCTGCTCGGAGCACTCCGTGCCATTCAGCTCACCTAATTATCATAATAGGCCCATTTTACAGATGAGGAAATGAAGGCTGAGCAGTGTGTCCAAGCCCAAAATGCCCACAGATGGGGGAGGCAGGTTCCCAAGCTGGACGGACACCCTCCCACCTTACTCCCCATGCTTGGTTAGGCAGGGAAGATTTCTCTGCACGATGGAACTGTGTGCCTCTTGAAGGCAGGGAGGATGTCCTTTCCAGCCCTAAATCCTCTCTGTTTCCCTCTAAGGTAGCACGGGGACGTGGACGGCACCATCACAACTGTAAGGGAGCTAACTCCTAGAGAGGAACTAGGATAAATCAAAACCTTGCAGGAGAATTTCCTACAGTCTCTGGAAAACGGGCAGAATCTACTAGAACTGGACCTTGACGAAGTCTGTGACTCAGCAATTACCCGAGGCATAGACCCGCCCTAAACGTGTCCACGTTGGCTAAAAGCCATAAACGAGAACGCTCACAGCAGTTCTATCTGTGCAACCCCCCCAAACCAGAAACGACCCAACGCCAACCATCCCGGATCGCGGGGTCTTCACGGTAGCACCCCACACTGCGAGAAGGAGCGGCCCACACTACACACACAACATGTGACCCCGCGGACGGTGCCAAGCCGGAGACACAAAAGAGCACACGTGGCCTGATTCCCTTTATAGAAAGGGAAGGACAAGCACAACCGTAATCTACGACAAGACTCCAGGATGGTGTTTTCCTCCAGCGGCCGGGGCAGGGGCTCTGCACCCACAGATCTTAAAGCCCCGTGTGATTACAATGTGCAGAAGGGACAGGTCTGCACGCAGCCCAGGGAAGAGAGACGTGAAGAGCAAGGCTTGGGCAGGGGCAGGACACAGGTCAGGGGTGTGCAGAGTCGTTGCCGCAGGGTCACTCTGTTAGGAGCCGGGGCTGGCCACGGTCACGGGCCCCCCGAGCCTGCATGCTGCCCCTCAACTGTGGCAACCCACCTGGGCTCTGACTCTTTACTCAGCAAGACAGGCAGCCTGGTTCCCGGAAGCGGGGGGTATGCGGGCGGGCTGACCCAATCGCTGGGTCCCCTGGGGCGGGGGGGCGACACGCTATCTTCCAGCCCCACCACACGCCAAGTGACACGCAGACCCTTGTGGGTTTGGGGAAGCACCGTGATCCATCTGGGTATCACCGTTTGAGGACCCGGTGTGTCTTTCCCGGAGAACCCCCATTCCATGGCACCCCCCAAGAGACTCTGACCACCCTGACTTTAAGAACTGGAACATCTTGGGGTTTACAAAAAGGGAGCTTCTACTGTTTCCAGTAGTTGAAATCCCAGTGCCACCGCTTTCCCGTGAGCTACCAAACCACCCTGTGCATCTGTGGCCTCGTAAACTGGGGGTAACCATGCCGGCTCAAAGCAGGTGCTCCGCCAATGTGCCTTCCTTCCCCTGAATCCCTTCTTACTGTACGCAATCTTCAGGCTGGCCGAGACCCCAGAGGATGCCGTCTCTATTAGACGAATGAGCCCGCACCCCAGCGCCGTGCATGACACGGGCACCTGCTGTCTGGGAGTATCCGCTCCCCAAGGATGTGGCTTGGGAGGATGGAGGCAGCGCGATGGGGACCTCTGGCCATGTGCATCCTGCAACCCCTGTCCCTGGGCAGGTGCCCGTCTTTGTTTCCATCTGTCCTGAGAAGCTGCAATTCTCAGCCCTGGGGGAAAAATTTCTGTCTGGCCTTCACATTTTCAGGGAGAGCTCTTGCACAGGGTCCGCTCCTGCTGGGGTAGAAAACACTCCACCCCCTTCAAAACATCAAGGTTCAGGAGCCACTGTGAAAACTTCAGAAGAGTCATGCGATGCAGAAGGAGCAGGCCTGCTTCGTGGGGCGGGCTCCTGCCGCCCGAGCCTGGGAGGCACGCTCAGAAAGCTCCCGAGACGTATTTGACCTGACTGCATTGCTCTGTGTTGTTTGGTTCGTAATGCACTTTCCCAGAACCCAGACCAAAGGCTCTGCTGGGAGAGCTGGGGGAGCAGAGGGGAAGAAGTCTTTCCCAACGAAAGCATTTTTTCCTTGGAGTTAGGGTACCCTTTGAAAAAAGGGATCAGCTTGCCTCGTAAGGAAAACGTAGTTTTTGTTGTAAACCAGCCTGATTTCTTTCTTTCTTGTTTAGCATAAACCTGGAGGACAGCTGTCATGTGGTTACAGGAGATTGTGCTCAGAGGGACGTTGACGACTCGGATAAGAAATGAGATCCTATGGAGTTTAAATCCCCAAATTCTTCCCTGAGGTCAAGTTCCGGACACATACTTATGCAACCCGGAGGAACAAAATCAGGGATCGGGGTGCCTGGGTGGCTCCACCGGTTGGGTGTCTGCCTTCGGCTCAGGTCATGATTCCAGGGTCCTGGGACCAAGTCCCGCGTCGGGCTCCCTGCTCATCGGGAAGCCTGCTTCTCCCTCTGCCCCTCACCGGCTTGTGCTCTCTCTCTCTCCCTCACTCTCTCTCGAATAAATAAATAAATCTTAAAAAAAATCAGGGTTCAGTTTGCTGCGAAGAAGTTACTTGGGCAATAGGGTGATCTTAGGACTGAATGTAAAGTACTTGAAAGTGACAAGGGAAGCCCCTGGGGCAGTGAACTCTTTCCCCCTGCCTTGCTGGGTCTGACTTAGCAAGCACAACTCTATAAATGCCCGAGGGCAAATAAAGGAGGCGCTTCGGTCTGCCACAAGGCTGAAAAGAACATCAGTCCGAAAAAAAAAACAAAAAAAAAAAACACATCAGTCCGATAATTTAACCGAATGCCATCTTTCTGTTGTGCTTGGGGCAAAAACACAAGTTTAAAAACAGACAATTCATTTAAGGACTGGGACTAAAAGCTCAACTCTTTTCTTGTAACTTGAATTTGGTCTGTATAAAGTATCAGGAAGTCATGTATTATTGTAAAGTAAATAGGAGATTTGGATTGGTGCCTTGGAAAAGTAAGGATCGCTTTGCTTTTTGGACCAGAGACGAGCTCAGCAGACACCGCGCGTGTGTGTGACGAGAAGCCGGTTCTTTGCAGGCACAGGGAGTGAGCAGGCGCCCACGCTCCAGCAGGACAGACGTGCAGATGGACACCTGACACCCTCCCTGGGATGGGCACAGTGATACACGTACGCAGGTGGAGAAGCGTGCAAAGCTAGGCGTGGTTAAGTCGGCCACAGAGGCTTCACGAGGAGGCAGCGGAGCGGAGGGCTATCCGGAGTCCGCCGGAAGCGCACATGCAGCGAGGAGCCCCGAGGGTCCCCACGTGGGCAGTGCCGGCGCTGACAGGCGAGAGCTCTGGGGTGCGGGCTCTCGTGTCTGTCCCCTCCCCACCCTTCTGTGACGTGTTACTTCAT